CTCGTATCAAATAAGGAATATTTCCGAAGGTAAAGTAACATGTTTAAAGACTTTAAATAGAATCAAATTGTCTCAAACAGCAATTCCTGATTGATAACGGAGAAATTGAAGGAAAAGTCAAAATACTATTAGTTAATCAATAGATACATTGGTGTAGTGAACGTGAATTACAAAGTGCATTCGAAAAAAAAAAGAAAACCATACATTAAATACATCACTTGAACACTTCCCCTCAGTTGTTCTTCACTTACACCACTATTCCTCTAATTCTGTTTAAATTTCTATTGCTAACTGATTTCCTTCTTGTTCTCTTCACTTCGATCTTTTGCTGACAAGCATTCCACTTCCGATTACTACTACAAACTACTTATATCCGTCAATATAAGTAGCATACACCAAGGTGGTAGTCGAGCAATTCGGTCAAAATATAGTTTTGAATAGCATAGACACAGATATTTTAAAGACAAATTCTTTCCTGGTAAAATACAATTTATTTAAACTAAAATAATTCCAGATATATTAATTTAAATAGCCCAGTAACGAAATAAAAACTATTTATTCGTTATAGTTGAGTAATTAAAGCAACGTTTTGATTGAGTTTTGTTCTCTAAGCTGGATGGTTTTGCCGTGCAATTTTCATCGTTCTTCTGAATGACATCATCAGCACAAAATTCGGGTACAACCAATGTACAATCTTGATACAAAATGATGAAATTCATTCGAAATTGTATACTTTCAAATGGCATAATTTTAAAGATAGAAAGTTTACAAAATGTAGTCATAATCTTATTTATTAATTTAAACACATAAACAGTGGTAAAAGAAGGCAACAAATAGATATGTGCCACATACATCATTCGATTTGTGTGAGGGCTGAGACACTGCCTGGGTGCCCAAACCGAAGCAGATGGTTTTCTTACGGGGCCACACCCGGGGCCTTCGACCTGAAGGTCTGATCTACAAGGCAGTGGAGCAACGTAAGGAGATGCAGTCCCATGATAGTCGGCGACTAACAATAGGTCCATACGCCATTTTTTCACTCAAAATCCTGGAGCCCATGTGCACCATTGGTTTGGAATCAGGGTTTTCCAATTCCTCTAGGTGGATCCTCCATATCCACCAACCCTATTAAAGAGTTGGACATTCGCTTTTCGTCCTCTGAATTTCGTAAACAACACCCTTGGTGCGAGAAGGCAGTGATTAGGACTTTCCTGGTAGTGGTTGTATGCACATGGCCATATGAGAGCATTTGGAGAGGGAGAGCTGACTCTCCTCTACTCAGCCGCACCAGGGCATATGGAGGCTTATAATCTAAGATAACAGGATAGTTTATATGCAAGATATCAATAGAAAGTGATTAGATTCCAAACATTAAAATAAAACTATTTTTGTAACATCCATTTTTAATCGCTACAGTTTGTTAAAAAGATAGAAGAATTAAGGTTGATGAAATATCTCAATGATAGTTAGAAAGAAAACATGAGATATCTCGATTGCTAACCTCATACATTGCTGACTAAACAATCAGATCCAATTTTGTTTGCGATTTTAACCATGAACAAACTAGTCTCTCAATAAAGTTTATTTTCTAAATGACTGTATTAATAACACGTCAAATGATCCATTTGTTTTACTCTGTTTAATTCGATTCGGAACAAAACGAACCTTATTAATATGAGTACACTCATATAGATCAGATTAAACTCCTGGTGGATAAATTCAAACTTAAAGTTTTGTTATCAGATAAGCTTGTTGTTTGGTTGATAAATTTCAAGGTAAATTAATTGTAGACTTCTTGATAAACTTTTACAGTTACACAGACGTTCTTTGCTTAACCTTCAATTTGAGCTTTGCATGGATCAGTAATTCCTATCATTAAGTTATTTAACAGATTATTAGCACTAGTGTTGCCTTATTTACTTTCAGTCTACCGCGATTCATTAGAATATATAATATACAGAAACATAGAGATCACTCCATGACATAAAAAACAAGCCTATCTTTTTATTGCGAGAAGAATAAGTCTTTCTTTCTTCTCAAATCATTAAAAGCATCAGATACGCATATTAACTGCTTCATAATACCGATTTCTAATAGAAGATTGTATCTTGAAATAATGAAGATTTCCTTCTCAGGTAGATACTTTTAGAGGTGTTGTGTCGTGTTAGCTAGATGAATTGTGAAAGTTCCAGTGTTATTCTACACGATATCGCCATAACATACTTTATATAGAACTAACATTTTCAGTCATTCCGCGAGCATTAGATAAGTTTGTTCTAATGGCCATCTTTACCTCCATTTGCACTTTGATTTTTGCCATTTTTCCCGTTGATATCAAGTCACGTGACTGACTAACCTCTCCCGTGTGGATTGACAGATTGGCACTATGTTAATGTGTTTACTGATTGTCTATTTATCTGGACCCCACGTTTCTAGAAATTACCCTACCCTCTCAAGTTTCCTGATCCAGAATTTCGATTTCTCCCAACTAAATCCATACCCACAGTTTTTTACATCCAGTTACATTAGTGACGATATACTATGTCGTCCCACCCCTAATCTATCTTAATTTATGAACAAGTGAAGTCTTTCACTTTGTTCACTGTAACACATTTCGCATTCGGTGTAACTTACTTTGTAGATGAAAACACATTTTGTTTCTTATTGGTTATGTGTCTTCAGTGAAGTGATTGCGTTGGTTTGTAAGTGACATTGATTTCGATGGGTTTCAGGGACATTTTCCACATATACTATGGAATAAAACCTAAGGAAAAAACAATCTTACAGAGGATAATTAGAACGAACTGATTTGACTGAAAAGCTCATATATGAATGAAGTATAGGCTAATGTTGTTCAAAACAACAATGAAAGCTCCATAATTAGACGATCTAGCTAACAGAACAGACAGTGTTGAAATGTCATTATCCTATGGAACTACTACTTCCTATGAACTGGGTGTAAGTTTATCGCTCATTTTCCTTGGTGTGATATTAATAGATGGGTTAAAACATTACGCGAGATTATGCAGAATTTATCCTGGTAGGATAGTTCTATTTATTAATAAAAATAATATATTTGTAATATCCCAATGAGTAGAAAATTGGATTTTCTACTCATTGGGATATTACAAATACATTATTTTTATTTATAACAATCAACCCAATGCTCAATTTATTCCAAATTATCAAATCAAACCTTGGTAATGACACCTACAGTTCTATTTATTATTTATCTTGCAATAAGATATTACAAATTATCACTCGTTCTTACCTCTAATCTCGTGTACTATTGTTAAATACATTGCCCATTTTTATTTGATATGTTTCACTTGATTATGAATAGTATGCTACTTCACCAAGTTAAAACCACTTAAATATATCAGTATTATACAAGTTTTTCATAAAATATTTAAACCTAGTTATAGTGGCACAGACTGCGGCAAAGAAGAAAGTGTCACGGCGGATAGAACAACCGCAGGAGTGAAAATTTTAAGAGGATGAGTGCGGTATATGCTATTTATGTTGGCAGACATAAATAGTAAAAAAAGTTGGAAGTGAAATGCCTGAGAGCAAAAGACTGGGGAAATTGAAATAAGAAGAAAGAAGAGAACTGAGAGCGATCAAAGTAACAACATTAATGGAGGTATGATGAAGTTGGTAAGAGATAACTGGTGGAGGATGTATAAACGATGTATTTAATGTATGGTTTTCATGTTTCACCAAGGCGCTCAGTGAATTTGTATTCAACAATAAATTAGTCTTCCCCACCTGGGTTCCTCATTCACTACACTTGATGTCACTGCCAAAGGGAGAGCGTGGAGGATGCAGTTCGACTGAATTGAATGATATTATTATTATTTAGACACATAAACATTGGTACAATGAGGCACCAAACAGATATGCGCCATATAAACCGTCCGATTCATGTGAGGGCTGAGATACTGCCCGGGTGCCCAAACGGAAACAGGTGGTTTTCTTAGGGGGCCGCACCCCAATAAATATCATAGTTATTTAATATACCCTTGTGGGCCAAGATAATTTTACATTGGTTTTCAGGAGAACCAGACACGATTCAAACTTTCATGTGACAACCCAAGCAGTACAGCTCAATCCCGTTTAACACGAGAGTTGGACATCGTCCAATCTCAAAATTTGTAGCCCAAAAAGTACGGCTTAATCCCGTTTCCACGAGAATCAAACACCATCCAGGCTAAAACTTTATAACCCGAGCAATATAGCTCAATCCCGCTTCACACGAGAGCGGGATAGTTCTATTTCTTCAGCAAAAAAATAAAATGTTCTTCTAGATATTTTAAACAACCTAAAAATACAATGAGAAAAAGGTCGAGGAATTTCGGCCTAACATCCCCTCCAGTGTCAAAATGAATAAATTAATACGATTATTTAGACCATGTAGTGGGATAAATTAAAACTTGAAATATAGAAATTTTAGCCTTATTGGCTAATGGTTTAAAATGTTAATCTCTAATTTAATCACTTCATTATTATTCAGTTGTTAACATAGGGTTAAATTTAATTAACATTCACTTGTTGTTTTTTTTACTTGTATCTTCCCATTGTTATTTAGGACTGTAATTGATCAGTCTCATCCAGCTGATGAGTCCCAAACAGGACGAAACGCACGTCCTGGATTTCATTACTAGCCACTATCTCTCTTTGTTTAATTAACATTAGTTTAATATTTGTTACTTAAAGATAAAAAAGATATATGGATTTTTCAAACTATAAAAAATATAAGTAAATCAACAAAACAAACATTGTAAATAAAACAACTTAATCTTCTGAAATAACTTTTTATTATGATAGAATAGAATGTTACCATATTTGTACAATAATACAGGTAGGAAACAAAAAAAAATACTTGTCATTTATGAATGAAGTTAGACATAGATTTTTTTCATATGATTAAAGAAAAGTTAGGCCTAAATTGTAAAACATAATAATTATAATAATGTATATTAAACATAAACATTATGAACTTATATTTGAGCCTCGATTACAGCCCCATCTACAGCACCGGCAATAGGTACAATCAGGTTATCTTTACTCATAAGATTGTATTTTAACACAAATGTTGTAAACCTTCGACATAATGCAGTTGATTCCTGATTAAATAATAAAAGAGAACCAGAAAACTCTCAAATTAAAATGTATGAAACACTTTATAATGTAATTCACCATTAATCACAAACAATCACTAAACAACAAAGTGCCCCCAAATACCCTGGTACGGTCGAGAGCGAGGAGAGTCATCTCTCCCTCTCCAAATGCCCTTACACGGCCACATGCATACAACCACTACCAGGGAAGTCCTACTCACTGCATTCCTGCACCAAGTGTTGTTTACGAAATTGAGAGGATGAAAAGCGAATGTCTAGCACTTTAACCGGGTTGATGAACGGAGCGTCCACCTAAGAATGTTGGAAAACCCTCATTCCATACCAATTGTGGACATGGGCTCCAGGATTTTGAGGGAACAAATAGCGTATGGACTACTCATTGGTCACCGGCTACCATGGGACTGTATTGCCTAATGTTTCTCTACTGCCTTGTGGATTAGACCTCTAGGTCAAAGGCTCGAGGTGTGGCCTCGTAAGAAAACCACCTGCTTCGGTCTGGGCGCCCAGGCAACATCCCAGACCTCATATAAATCGAATGATTTATGTGGCACATATGTATTTGGTTTCTCTTTGTATTAACATTTATGTATTTAAATAAATAAAACACGACAAAGGATATTAAAGTTGTTAAAGTACTAATCCATCCGTCTAATTTTTATGGGTGCACATCGTACAATTGAATCAAAGATAAAAACAATACGTTTGGAATTAGTTGTTCACTAGAAAAGTCACAGTTCTGTACGTAATTCATTATGGATGTTGCCGCATTATCTTGTGTTAAACAAGGGTGGACAAAACTTCAGTTTTCAAATGACTTTACAAATGTGAAACAATCACAAAAATGCTATTGCTTAAGATCGGTGGTTCTTGACATTATTCAACAAGGTGAATCCATAAGCAAAAGGAAAATTGATGCTTCGCTATATACAAACAAATTATACAAATAATTCAGAAATACGACTACTGACCACTGAGAATAGAGGGTGCGAATCCCAACTTGATGAGAAAGGATTAACTAGGCGTTTATCACCTCATTAGACCTTTCATAACAGAGTTGTCAAGTCAGTGGCTTTAAATAAATAGGCTGGTACAAGTGAACAGGTCACACGGAAATTTTAATTACTTATTAAGAACAATGTTACCCATACAATCTTTTAAAATTAAAATTCTAGCCCTATAATAACCAAGCTGCTAATCAACATTCCAAGTAAATTTCTAGCACTGGAAGAGATCTAACTAGATGTGAGATAATTAAAAATCGGAAATATGAGTTATTACTCAGTAGTGTTTTGTGATCTCAGTGTAAAACGATTAATTATTAAAAAAAACACAAATTAGTGAAGTGTGCAATAAATTAACGAGATAAGGTTTACTTACTTCAAAAGAATCAAATATCTCTCGATGATGATAATAAGCATGAGAGAATATTCTATAAACACGACGGCAAACAGAATCAAGACGATTGACTGACGTGACTTTGATGCTTACTCTATAATGGTTAAAAGAAGATAAGCACTATAAGTTAATTACCGACTAGGGAAGTATTTACTGCTATTCAACAGGCAAGCAGCTCCGTCAAGCGTATGTCGTGTATAATCAACAGCTGGACACTATCAAAAACAAATAAAAAACAGCCAATAGTTTAAATATTATTTTAAAAATGTCATCTGATAAACACAAGTTGTCAAATAGATAAACACTTATCTATTCGCAACAATAATTTAAATGAACTGAATCATGTTTTATAAGTTATAAACAGTGCGTTATTAACCTAGGGTAAAATGTACTACAAAATTTGATTAGCAAATATAATTTTTTTTAAAACTTATTGGTGTCAGAATTGAAGTTCACATGGAAAAATTAATACCTCTTTCGGAGTCTTATGTGCTGCACACAAAAATATCCATTGTTCAGTAGCAGTCATCTGAGGACATGTTTTTGGGGTACATTGCTCTTGCAAACAAACAGCTAATCCATTTAGTTCCATACAGAATTGTCTCAAATGTTCGTACTTCCAGACTACTTCATCTTGACCCTCTGGAGCAGTTAAAATCTCATCCACATTGTTAAAATCACGTCTTATTGTTTGCTGTATGTACTATAAATGTAAGATTTTACTAGGAAATGGGGAAATACCTGCTGAACAGCTAATGTACTTTCCATATCTTCGAACGGTTCATCGGGCCAATTACACCACTCCTTAAACGTTACGGTAAAGAAATTATTAGGACTGGTCGTACCTCAGCTTTAGTACCAGGTCTGTTTCGTCGAAAATAGACTTTACTTGTTGCCATTGTCTACAGAAAACAAGATAATTTCGACACCTGAATCTATTTAAAAAATGAAAAGTATTTCGCACTAAAATTATAAATGGTTTGTACATATTTAGCTTACGTAGGAGGTTAGCATATTTGAGAACTAGATTAACTTTTGGTATTGTTGAGTTATTTAAGATAGAGATCGTTTAGCTTTGCTTTAGTAATTTGGTATCATTCTGCAAAATTATCTTAATTACTGATTGTTTCGATTTTTAGGAAAGTAAATCGACCTATGATTGCTAGACGAGTGACAACCACGAGCACAATCAGGATTACTGATAGGATAACAAAATCACGTCACAAAATGATTCCACGAAATGAAGAAGACTTATACTTCAGGTGAGTACTTTTGGCAACTTTCAATCCGATAAGCTGGACAGCCTAGCCGCAGACTGGGTCATCGTTTCGTATACCATCAGTGCCTACTTTAAATAGAAATGAGCATTTCCATTATTTCACAAGTATTGTGTCTGTCTGTTCTGGTGAAATTGTCTCTGACTGGTTGTCATCACGGTTTTTATCTTTATGCAACCATTTCCTGTTAGCTCCTTTTCTCAGTCCACTAATGACCGAATGAATGGTTGGCTCTTTCCAAACAGATTAATAGGTTGAATTTATAGAAATGTCTGTTGATTGCAGAACGACCTGAATGTCAAGGTTCTACAGACTCTCTGATATTTTCCGGATTTCTCAGACCCAGATCTCTGACATATTTCCAATCAAATTTATGTCCGTTGTTTGTACGCAATAATATGAGTAGTATATCATGCCCTTCCACTGTTTGCATACATTTGTACTTAGACATAGGTGTCCACTACATTTTATGCTGAACGATCCTGACTTTAACTATGAGGCGTCATAACCCTTATATGCGGAAACACTTCAACTCCAAGGACAGAGTACAAATGGTTTAGTTTTTCTGTTTAGCGTATTTATAAGCGGGTTCATTATACAACATATGGGTCCCCAATCCCATGCTCAATCCTTTACGAGTACCGGGACCGGCAGTGATCCTAGAAGGGATAATTATTTCAACCCATGACAATCTTGTTTGAGCAGATCAAAACAAATAGAGCCTAAAGATGACGACTCGTTATTTTTGAAGTTTTTTTTAGAGAAGCTAATAAATATATAAACACGACGTATTACAAGCTTATGTCGTGCTGGCAATATAGTTCATTGTGTGATTATGAACTCTTTTGAGCGTATTTGTTAACAGAACAGTGAACCATGAGAAAACTTTGGGGTAAACTAGCACGTCTTAAATGGGCTTTAGGTGGTCTATTAGACAGCGCATTCAAATAATTTTCGACTTAAGATATCTTGAAAGAGGACAGTAATATGATAAAAAAAGAGAACTAAGATTATTGTGTCGTTATGCGTGTGTAGGCATGTACTTCGTATTTACAGAAAATGAGAGCTTAAACTACGTCACAAAATGAGAACGGATTATTTACATGATCTGAAGACCATAATCTTAACTGTTTTTTCCGTAACGTACTACAATGGAACCTATATAATACACGTATAAAATGATGACAATCTTATGTTCCTAAAAATCTCCTAAACTCGCCCATGATAAAGTATTCGTGGAAGATTGTGGAATTCAACAGTGAAAGGACTTTTATAATGAATGAGCAAAGAAAATGACCTGTTCACCCTAATAAGAGCCGCCAGAAAAGCATCTCGTTTCCTAGTTGAAGTTGAGCACAAAACTCAAGGATGATCAGGGCTCTTGTAATCTTTCAATTTCGAAAACATGCCTGATTGTACTGAAGGAATGGAAAATTTAAAACTCTAAATTACTGGACATGGACAACCAACCTTTAAGCCTGACCGCGCTTTCCTCCCATGACCTTGAGTGAACGGTTCGACAAAGGACATTGCGTATATGAAGTGCTTGAATGCGTGTACGCTAATACTGGTCTCTGATGTTCGTGTATTTATTTAGTCTGTTGATGTCTGAAAAGCACTACAGTCACTTCTTGAAACGTAAAATAAATTCTCTATTTGTTTTTAATCATCCTAGAAACTGAAAGTGCCAACTCTTCAATGTCCAAAAAATCTGTGGCAATATCTAGTATACCCAACATCGCTGTTTATGCACTGTTCCAGGTATTCGGTTATGTCTAGTAGTCTATCCAATCGACTTCAATACTTCTGGTAAGTTTAGTAGTTAGTTGTGGGTTTGTGTATCGTGTATTCTAAGGGAGTGGTTTTTTCTTAGAACATCAAGGCTTATGGATACTAGAAACTATCACGTTAACAGACAGGAGGTTAGTTGGCTGGTTTCAGTGTAAAACAATAAAGTGAAAATTCGAATGCTTAGTGTAGTAAATGAGTAATTTAACTGATTAGCACTCCAGACAATGTGAAGATACTGGATAAAAATGGAAGCGGAGATGGAAACAAATAAGACGATAGCAAGTTAATGACATGTAATGGTGATGTTAGCACTTATTAGGTTGCGAAATATGCATTATGTGCAGTTAGTACAATCAGGAAATGACAATCCATGAATTGTTAGGTATTCGTCAAGTCTTATCTTGAAGCCAACCGATGAAGAGGCTCTGAACACTACGGTCGGAAGAGCATTTCAAATAGGAGGAACTCTTAATGAAAAGTAAGAGCGTGCCCTTACTTTTGCTCTTTGATGTGTAATTTTTCAGGAACTACCTAGGGAAATGTGATTTTGATGTTCTGGCATTGTGTTCGTGTTTGAGTGATTTGGCATACTTATTCGGTTGAATGATGTTATCAGATAAATTCTTAGTCTCCTATAGCAAAAGAAGAATAAGCAACAGCTTTTGAGTCTCTATGTGAGATTAGTAGGCTTACGCACTCTTTCGCCCATCTCTATATATTGTCCAATAGATTTACGTCTACCTTTAAGAAGGTGAGCACAATAACAATATATACTTTAATATGAGGCTGTATGTTTCAAGCAGTGTCAGATATATTTCTCGGGTAATTGTACCTTTTTGTCTTCACACGAAGTAAGGAGTAGAATCTGCATTGGCTGCATCACTAACATAATCTGAGCAGGTGTTCAAGCTCTTCGTAGTTACCGGGTCTGGACTGCGTTCTGAGCAAACAATTGGAGAACAGTTTCCATGGCGAACGCGAGATTTTTGCATCATACTGGGCAGAATTTTCATGACATCTAGACAGGTTAAATTTTAGCCTTATATCTACTGCCCACATTTATATTGTTATGTACTCCTTTTGAAGCGCGATTTATTCCTTATCACACTCTATTGACCTCTACATTCTCACCGTGTCTGAGAAAATTAATGCATTTGAACTAATTTTATCTAGAAGGTTGTTTGTGAAGAACAGGAGGAGTTAATTCTTTGAAACTCTTCATGTAAAGACCCTCCGGTTAATGTGCACCTTATTTACTTTTAAATGGAGCCCAAATTGAGAAAGGTTAGTCGAAATAATCTTCATTATATTTCCATGATTTTTGTAAGCCGGCATTATGTCAAATGCTTTAGAGATGTTGAAAAAATAACAGGGTCTGGTATATTTTCTCTCAACAGATCGCAGGACTGGGTAACCATTTTTGGTACTCCCATATTAATAAAGACGGACAGAGGAGCGCAATTTGAACACGAACTATTTAATAACTTGGCTAAACTTCTAGGCTTTAATAGGATACGCTGCACCGCATATCATCCTCAGGTTACAAACAGTTCTAATTAAGAAAACAGAACAAATTACATCAAAAATACTAAATATCTCAAACGGTACAGCCTGTGCTATACAGTCAAAAGTTTCTCTAACGCAAAGTAGCGCGCTAAACAATGAAAGAGACAGTCAATACTAAAGGCTTTGATACCTGAGAATCAAGAAAAATATTCTCGATAAGATGGGATCAAATATCTGTCTGCAGTGATTGGGGCAATTCTCCCAAGCAGACAGTCAGAAGGTTAACAGTCACAAACTGAACCATGCCGTGACCTTGAGCTTAGTCAAACACGACCTTACTGTCAATGGTCCGGCAACATGCAATAGAAAATTAGGTAACAAAAAATAAGCCTTTAATCAAAATCACATAATAAAGGCTCAAACGGGGAAGAGTGAAGAACAAAAGACCTGGTTAAACGAAATCGGAACAGGGGTTAAAATACACAAAAGGGGAGAAGGAACGAATAAATGACAATACTGTTCAACAAAGAAGCTGCTGTGGGATTTTCACTGTTTTCTTTCCGTTACATAAGTGTTGTTATTTTTTAAAATACTGGATATATAAGCTAGGTATTCCATAACGATGGCTGAGTGATATTAATCAAACTCATACAGCTAACCCTAGCAGTAACAGCGAATTCGAAAAGCAACCAGAATATCAACCCGTTCTGGAAGCCAATCACTTATGTGGAACCGAACAACTATCAATTTTACTTATGTATTTCCATTTTGTATCTTATTATTTTATGCAGGTAGTGAAGTAATTCTCTAGGTTTGATTGTTTTTCACCATTACCTTTGATGTAGATTCTTCTTTACCTTTTACTTGAGGGAGACTCAAGAGGCAGGTGAGTAAACACCTGATAGCCAGTCTGAGCATGGAAAAATCGTGCCTCATCAACATGGTGTTGGGTAGCCCGCTCGCGGCACCTCCACAGGTATTCTTGTTCTACATTCTCACACACTTTCTCTTGCGAGCACATAGCAAAACGTCAGCGATAGTTGTAGAAGAAATCACATACTACAAAATAAGATGACAAGTAAGCAAACGAAGCGACATCCATGGACTATCGTTGATTGCTGACGGAAATAGTCGTCATCGATTGGAAGTCAAACAGTGAGAGAGTTTATAATTTTCCCTTGGGCTAGAAAACAGAACTAAGGTATTTTTGATAGATAGATTAATCGAACCGACGTTCCTACGGAAGTCGATTCTAGGGGTAAGGTAATGTAACAGCTTAGGTTGGTTGGTTAAGAGTTGACCCCAAACAACCAGGCATATACCAAAACAGTATAGTTCAAGTATTCATTCACTTCCTTATTTTGTATAAGCATTATATTTTCTATTATCTTTTATTGAATGTTGAGAGGCTTTGTTTGTCTGAAGAGGTAATCCCACGCTCCACTGTGACTGCGCAAAGATCTAAATAAAGACCTATTCACTAACTGTCTAGTTTCTTCTATCAATAGCACGAGGGTTACATAAAGGCGCGAAAACTCCTCCGATATCCAGTAGCTTGAGTGATGCATGCCCCTCCATTAACAAAAAGATCTGATTGGCTCACATAATGAATGACGTGAATATGTGATATAACTGTGGTTGATCCCAGTAAAGTAATTTATTCAAGATATAACAATATGCACAGTTACTAATGATATTCCAAATGGGATTAGCACTATAAACCGGAACGTCTGTTTGTGAGTATAGCAAAGTGGTGACAGCTAGTACTTACGACAAAATGATCACAATTGTTATGAAATGAATCTTACTTTTAAGCGCCTTCCGAAATAACAACCACAAATGATTTCGCATCATTAACGAAAGTTCCTCAGAATGCAGTGGGACAAACGGAGTTTTGAAGAGGATAAAATCTGGCCGTTTTATTTAAGAATAACCCGGGCAGAAAATCTGATGTAGTATAGGATGGCCTAAAAGAACGTTATGATAGTATTATAAACTTTAATCAGAGCTGTGGCAAATAAAGTAGCGACATAGATTGCATTTATTTGACTGACAACGGTGGCACGTGTATTAGTACAGACATACCATTACATCCGTTTTTTGCAATCGATACTTACTTACTAACGCCTGTTACCCCTCGTGGTGAAGCACAGGCCACTCATCAGCATTCTTCATTCAACTCTGTCCTGCGCAATCCTTTCAAATTCTTTCCAGTTGCTTTTCATCTCATTCATGTTTGCTTCCAATTCTCAACGCAGTGTGCTTTTGTCCTTCCTCTTTCCTGCTTCCTTCCAAGATTCAAAGTCAGCACTTGCTTCGCGATTCAGTTTGATGATTTAAGAAATATATGTCCCACCCAATTCCAGCGTCCTTTCCTATATTCATCTTCAGCTAGAGGCTGAACTGTTCTCTTCCATAGTAGGATTTTTACTGACATTTTTTGGTCAACGGATAGTGAGTACCTTACGTAGACAATTGTTTATAAATAATTGTACTCTTTTGATGAGGGCTGTGGCAGTTCTCCAAGTTCCAGCTCTATACAGTAGAACTGTCTCGACGTTCGTATTCATTATTCTGACATTGATGTTGGTTGACAAATGTTTCGAGTTTTATGTGTCATTCGGTTGTGGGAATGCCACTCTTGCTTTGTCAATCCTTGCGTTTACGTCTGCATCAGATCCTCTTTGTTCATCGATGATGCTTCTCAGATGTGTGAAAGTTTCCACCTCTTCCAGAGTTTCTATATCAAGTGTAATTGTGTTGATTTTCTCCGTGTATGTTGAGGATTACTGATGCAGGAACTGCTGCTACACTTTGATAAGTCGTATAGGTTGAACGCTATATACGATTCCTAAGCTATTTCGGTAACCCGCAGACTAGAACTACACAGCGACTTGAACACCAGAGAGAAGACAAAAGTATAAGAGAAAATACTTTATCCCAAGGTTCATTTTTGTACAGAAAATCATGGGTATTTATAGATTTTGGCATCTGTTAAATCAACATCATTTTACAGCCAATCCGATAACAACACATTACGCTACCGACCAATAGTAGCACGCCATGTTGGAATTCTAGAACGTTCCATCACACTCTGATTGGCTAGGACTCTTCGGCTCCATTGTGGGCCTCTGGAGGCTCCGTTGAAGTTCTCCGGAAGCCGACCCAACACACTTGTTATCTTCATCTACATTTGTTCGCATGTATATGATAGAAGAGTCAGGTTATCTGCAGTGTCCAAATTATCTAGTTGATTCCAAGCTGTCCACTGTACCTCGTGCTTTCCGACAGATGCTACATGAACGACTTTGCACTGTAATTCGTCTAATGTCGATGACTTTCTCGGATACACCATAAGGCTCTCCTACATACTTTGTTAATCAATATAGAGAAACAACAGATATTGAGTTTACTAGGTTATTTATCAATTGTCGCGGATAAAGAAAAAATATGATCTTTATCTTGTCATTGCAAAAATCACTGAGTACACATGTCACTATATAACTCCCTATAGGGTATACGTTGGTGAAGTATTGCCCCATGTAAATTCTAAGTGTCTTGGTGAAAAAAGAATTGCACAACACACAACGAAGAGAAGAATAAATAAATAAATAAAGGATATCAAAAATATATACCTACGGATAAAAAGTAATTTGTGTGGTAAAAACCTCGTGGTCCTTATTTTGTCATAAAATTCGGTTAATTTACATGTCATTATATGGTGGAATCAGATAAAGTTTTGAGGATGATACAGGTATTCAGTGTTTGACAACACTTCTACCAGTAACACCTAATATAATTTATTCCCACTGAGAGAAATCAAAAGACAGTGTCGAGGAGATCGGAAGTGTGTATTTGGCGATTACCAATATATTAATACCAAAATAATGAGAGTATAAAGACTATTTATAACACACAAATGGAAGCATATACAAAGGAAAAATACAGGTCGTTACTTAGATTGTTACTTGAGGGCGCGTCCGAGTATAGTCTCGTAATCCACAACTACGAGTAGCCAACAATTGAGGATATAGTAGATATAATGCTAGATAATGTGTATCTGGAGTGATCACCTAACGGGGATACCTGTATGACCAGTCGACGTAGATGGCGAGTATATTAGTGGTCTGTTATCGTGGCAGCTGGTAAGTGAGAGCTGAGAGTTTGTGCGTGTAGCAGTGCATTGTGACTAAAAACCAGTGTATAATGAGAACAGAAGACAAAATGGTAACAGAAGATTAAGGTCAAATCGTAAACAACAGTTTTACGGTCAATAGCAGTAATTGTATAAATCGTGTGAAACTATAAAAACATGAAAAACAATAAAAAATACTAACGAAATAAGTTTATTTTACCTATTTACAAGTGCGATACTGAGATGTAATCACAGAAGACTCATGATGATAGCTTTAGATGAAGTTAATACTGCAGTAGAAAATACACTCCTTTATGCAACATTACCCCATTATGTGAGCCGAAAGACTATTGAAAGTACTGGATATATCTCTCCCAGCTGTCTACTCGTAGACAGGGAGGAAGGATAAAGGACTTCACACTATAACAACAATCAGTGTAACACATTTAAAATTGTAAGCTACTAGCCTCTGGTTTCGTTTGTCAAGTCGTGTTATTCGTACGCTTGTGCTATTGTTAGTTGTTGTCGATTGCTATATTTACTCAATTTAAGTGAAGTGTAAGTGCTTGCGGAGTCATGGGTACATTTTTGTCTTGTTTTTCCTTCAGATTTCACAAAACTGCTATTCACATATCCCCCAGCACACAGCTTACCTTCAGGATAGTGGCAAACCTACTTAAAACTGAAAGTTAAACAGAATTATTTGTTCTGCACTTTATCTTGTTAAATCATGGCTGATGATGCCGCCAGAAAGCTGCAGTTCGAGTACAAAATCAACTCCAACCTTGTACTCTCAACAGATCGGTCCCTCATCGACAGACGTCCAAGGGATGAATCCACCGGAGAGGTGTTAAGTTTAGCTGGGAAAATTCGTGCTCAAGAAATGGGGCACAAGTCGCAAAGAACAAAACCACCCATGTTGCATGAGAAACGAGCGAAGTAAGTTATTTAATCCCATCTTATAGCTTAAGACGTCAAAAACGTGACGAGTCCCAACAGGACGCTTTGAAATTGAAAGGAGCTAGCTTACTAAACGATGATTTCAACGATATAGCTGGAATCATGTACCACCCTAAGACACCAGACACTCGGAAAACCTATGAATACATTCTTCACTGCATTCAAGAGGCTTTAGGTGATCAGTCACGTGAAATCCTATGCGGAGCAGCAGATGAAGTTATAGCCACTTCTAAGAATGTTCATTTAAAAGACAAAGAGAAAAGGAAGGAAACAGAGTCCTTGTTAGGTAAAATATATTTCTAACCGTACATTGAGTATACGTAGGTCCTCTCGTTGATGAGAGGTATAACATTATTGTCAACCTTTGCAAGAAAATCACAGACTGGAAAGAAGAAGAACCTGGTTCTACCGCGGTCACTAACTCCAATGACAGTATTGATCAAACGTATGGCGTAAATGTTCAGTTTGAAGAATCAGACCAAGAGGTATGTTAGTTCATGTGTTTTTTCTAGCTAGGTCGTTGAAATAAACACTAATTTCATTTCTTAATTTAAACAGTTGATCATTATTAATCACGCTACACTATCCACAGAAATATTGTCAAGTTCGTGTTTTATTTCCAGTCTGCTATACCGATGCCAGAAAGGCCACGGAAAGTTACTGTCACGTTTTCACAAGGAGTATATTGCATCGGCTCCAAACTGGCTAGATGAAATCAAATGATCGTGCTAAAATCCTGTCCGAGCGTTTCAGGATAAGCATACATAGACGGAATGAAGTTCTAATATTTTAGCTCGTAACGTCTGTTGTCCGACTTGAAATAGGGTTTGAACATCGGGAGCTTCAACATGTAGTTTGAAGTGGGGTTTTAAGAGACATGGGGTAGCATCTTCCTGACTCTAATCATAAAAAATATTCCCAAACTTTTCTATACGGAGCTCTGATTTCGTGGTAAAGCACTCGATCTTTAGTCAACAAATTGTTGGTTCCTCTTACTGCGGTTTGAGTAGTTAATTAATATTATTAGTCTTCTCTAGCTCAAATTCTACTACATAAACATGTACTTAGCATCAACCGGCACGAAGAGTTATAAAGTGAACTTTTGGAAAATCTTTTTTAACGATTTAAGTAACTAATCAGCATATATGAAGAATCTAAGCAGTGTAGTTTGTTGACAGTCTTAAACAGTTCGGTTCAAATGTTTTGCTTGGGAAATATAATTTAAAATCCTAGGACAAATTTTTGCTTACACTTCGTCTGACAACAAATTAATTAAGGAGACTCATGCACTTGATTTTCAACAATGCTTAGTATAGGATCTAGTATTACTGTGACCCAGAATTCATCATTCACCGCGGTGAAAAAAACCGCACTTGCAACCAGTTCTTTTGTAGTATGAAATGGTTGTCCCGTTTAATTATTAGATGAATAAACCCTTACATTCACGTTGAAAGGTTGGTTTACAGTCAGTGGTAATTGTCCAGCTTTCGGCCACTAAGTCCCAAGTTCGAGACCCTCTCCGTCTACTTCAGTTTGGATAATTGGTTGGTACCATTAGTCTCATACCCAACTTCCTAGTTTGCGAGTAGATTTAGAACTCATAACCCGGGAAAAATATGCAAGTATAGATCAATGGATGAGTGTGCTGGATATCAATAGTTTCTAAACCATGGTTACTTAAGGTATGTGGCGTAAAAAGATCCCAAATTCATGAGTCAGTAACTTCAAACTTCTTGTCTTACGTGTTACTGACGTTTCTTTAAAATAAACTCAGAACAACGCAGGCATCAAGACATCAAACAGTGATGAGAAACGCTACTTTGGACCATAAACTGTATTTCCGATATGTCTGTTTTTTGTGTAGGATGAGGAAGATGCATTTGGGGAGGTCAAAGAAGAAGATGATGAAGATGAACCAGATGGGGAGGAGGCCGTTGTAGAGATGACTTTACAGTCTCGTAAAAATGAGTCAGTTATTACCGCTCACCAAAATGCTGAAAATTTACATCCTCGAGATATTGATGCGTTTTGGTTGCAACGTAACCTTGCGAAGCATTGTAAAGTTGGTTTTGCTTTGTACTTCTATATTTAACCGTTTTTGATTTATTTAATACGCAAACGTTTTTGTGTTTGTATCTCTATTTACATAAGTTAGTCCACTTCTAAAAAAAACGTGGAGTTTTATGAGAGTTCTTTTCATAGAGGCATTCGTTCCTAACTACTTATCAAGTCAGACACTTTTCCTTTGAATTTTCATCCCTATCTACTCGTATCTAGGTCAGTACACAAGCATAAATACCTCAGGATTCAGTACGAATAATTGTAGATACAAATTTTCACATTTTAAACCAATGTTAGCATAAGGGTTATCTCACTTGAGTTTTAAGCATTGAATTACAATTTTGAGCTACTGAATAGTATTGTTAACCATGACTCAGTGCTACTCAAATCAGGATACACAAACCTTCATTTTATGTTTTGACTACATTGTAATTAAGTAAGCTTAGCGATAATAATTCCAGAAAGCGGAAAAAATGTCAACTTTAAACATCTTTAAAATTTCAACACAAATCACGTACTTAATATAACGTCTATTCTGACCGACTCACTGTTACCTGAAGTTTTCATTCGTTTACTACCATTTACTCAATAACTCCAACCATAAAGTTTACGACAATTAGCGCGACTTAAACACATTATATGTGTTTTAATTATAACCGTTTCCATTCCTAATTATTACTTAATCACTGTTACTTTTAGTTAGAATACTGGATAGTATTGCTAGTGTTCACTTGGTTTATGAAAACACATCATGTAGTACAAGCAACTTATCACCTTACCTATCAAGCTGTTGATACGGTTTCTGACAGTCGATTTTATTTCAATACACAGTTCTGAAACACTCATTGAAGTTAAGCTGCACAAGACCGCATATACCTCATCAAAAGTGTTTTCAAAACACTTGATTACTCCTATTTTAGAGTTTCATGAAACAATTTCAGGATAATTCTATCGCTATATGCTAACAGTTCATGGAAAACAAAAAACCGTTGACCTGGGTGCAAACTTACTTCTGCTCAATCCATTTACTTATGTGTATCTCATTACTCTAGTCTTATCTTTCGACTGTTCCCTTGCAGTTGCTTATCATTGTTTTATAGTTGGTTTTTCTCACTGTTATGACTTACCTGTTTTTTTAATTACTTTCATGCACATTAATTGATGGAATCGTGTGTTAAAGATCAATAAATTATTCTAAGCGGATTTATTTAATTATTTGCTGAAGTTATCTCTGCTGCTTTTAATCTCATTGTAGGACCCGATACTTGCTCAGGCGAAAGCTCGCGAATGTCTGGAAATTCTTCAGTCAGCTTCTGATGATAGGGATCTAGAAAACCGTTTAGTTCGTGCCCTCGGTTATGAGCAGTTCGACTTTGTCAAAATTTTACGCAAACATAGACTTATGGTTTTGCACTGTATTTTATTGGCACAAGCACAAACAGTTCAGGAACGTAGTCAAATGGAGGCAAAAATGCGTAGCGACCCTACATTAGCCAAAGTATTGCATGAATTAAGAGAAACAGAAAATTCTGCAGATTTAGTCGCTGAAGAACGTCAAAGAAAAAATGTTCAGCGTGTCGTCCGTGTTCAGGTGAGAATAACTGGTTCTATATACATTAAACTGTTTGTAGATTGTACATAAAATTTGTTGACATTAAAGTTTTCCACGAATTCCACTAAAGTTACCATGCATGTTCTGGATATTAGTTGGTGAACTAGACAACTAATTTTTAAATTTCTCTGTTTGTTAGGATTAGGCTTTTTATGACATTATACATGTGATACTAATGAAATAAATATTAGTATCCAAACATTTCAAAGCATATTTCACTTATTAATTTATTGTTACTTTACTGATTCAGGCTGATATGGAGCATGAAAATATGAACGATGAAGGTTTTCACTTGTCTGAAGACGGTGCTATCGGTGTTGCAAATATCGTTGACTTAGAGGGTCTAGCTTTTTCGCAAGGAGGACATTTAATGGCAAACAAGAGATGTCAGTTACCCGATGGTTCATTTCGAAAGCAGAAAAAAGGTTACGAAGAAGTACATGTACCACCTTTACGCCAAAAACCATTAGAACCAGGCGAAACTCTAATAAAAATTGAAAAACTACCTGCGTATGCACAAGCTGCCTTTGAAGGTTGCAAGACTCTCAACTTAATTCAAAGTCGATTATACCATGCTGCTATGGAAACGGATGAAAATTTGCTGCTATGTGCCCCTACTGTATGTATTTTATTAGTTGATAAACTTAATTTAAATATTTATTTATATAAATTGGTACTTAAAGCTCTAAGCATTTTCACACTTGAAAATGCAGTAGGTTATATACACAAAAAATATCAGCCTAGAGTGCCTAAAAGGTTTTAGTCAGTTATTTAGACGGATAATTTTAATTACAAATTATTGTTTAAGTTCCACCTCATTTGTACAGTCATATATTGTCATTACCTCACAACACAAATGTGACTCAACAAAATGCATAAATTTATGTTTGGTTAGCAAGTTCCACTGATGTTCTAATCACTTGATGTTATGCTTTCCTCCACTATATGCTTTATTTTGCAGCTAGATTAAAATCCAGTTGTTATAAATTTGCCTTCTGGTTGTGTTCATGATGCTGCTTTTTTTAACTGTTTTTAAAGCGAATAACAGTTTTTGCGCATAATTTCCAGGGACATTTAAAATACGAAACAGGTCACATGTTAGTTTATGTTTCACAGTAATTTACTGTATAAAGGTTATCAATATTGCATGGTCATCAAATAGACTAATAACCCTGAACCAACATTTCGATTTATGATTCATTCATATTCAATTCACTAAGCTGTAACTTTCCAATGTCCTGTTACATGTTTTCAGTCAAAGTAATTCACTGTCCAGTTAAATTTTCAGACTATCAAACCAACTAACTGAGATAATAAAATACTACAATTTTTGGATAATTGTGTGCACAATGGTTTTTGGTGAATAACTACTATTCGTAACTAAGTCTATTTCCACCTTTCTTGGTGGTTATGACTGATATGTTCGTGCACTAAGCAACTCCAACTTCAATACGGTGAACATGACTACTGTTATTCTCTTTCCTTCCCTAAATAAAGTAGAAAGTTTGGGCGTTGTTTGAGAGTTTTTTTGACCAAGACCCAGTAAAATTCAAAATACATTTAAGGTAATCAGTAATATTACAATTATATGTATATGATCATAATCATAATTAAAGATGGTTAGTGGCTAGCAATGGTGTCCAGAACGCGCGTTTCGTTCTGCTTGGGACTTGTTGGCTGAATGTATCCGGATGGCTGACAGCTTGTCTTATTGATCTTGGTTTTTTGGTAATTGTTGATGTTTAGCTTTCGTCTGCATGTTAATTTTAATTGTTTCTTCTTTCGGCCTGGTTCTGAATACCATATTTGTCCATGGACTTCCTGATTAATTGGTAAATTAAGTCGATTTTTATGTGTTTTTTGATTGCTGATTGATTTAAAGTGCCAAGCCTTTAAAAATTCTCCTGTGCTAGTATTCCTTCTATCCAGCACTTTAACACTCTCAGTCAAACATGTGTCCACAGTTGCTCACGTGCATTAATAGGAACGAAAACACCATAACCTTTGACAACTAGTTGGTGTTTACTCAGAAAAAGATGAAAACGGCTCCTACTTTGTCCGACGTGCTTCTCGCAGTTGGAACAGTTTATTTTGTAGATGATGTTTGGTCCTTCTTTTGCTGTTTCATCCTTTAGTTTGGATATGATTGATTGAAGTTATTACCTCTACTACCCTAAAATTTACCCTGATAATGTCATCTCCCTATGCTAATGTCGTATGGCAACTTCGACCGTTATACACATATCTCAGGTTCTACGTTACGTTTAACTGACTGATTGATTGGAATGATTTTACTGGTTTATGTGCTACACTTAGACTAAACGGCCTCAATAATCTTATAATTCCTAATGTGCCCTTTATAATGTGATAAGATATTCTGTTTGTTAGTTTTCACGTTTAATTTCGTTTTTATCTATGAGTTGGCTTGATATTTTCTGATGAAGCTGCGTAAATAGCTGTTCTTCTGTAAGAAATAGTTACTAAATCTCCATTATTTGAATCGGTGCGCAGATTCTATGTCTTTTCATCATTTTACCCAAACATTAGTTTGTCCAAAGTTAGCATATCACCTAGGTAGGTTGAAACAAACTAGAGCTTCGAACAGTATAACTAATCAGTGTTTTTCCCGTAACTTCTATAACCAGCAAAGGTAACCGCGAATTGATACGAGTAGTCCTCACATTTTTTACATCTAAAATAGTCATGTATGTTATTTTCGTGGTTCCTAATTAATTTCGGTGGATTAAATTCACTTTGATATGATGAGCGCAGATAGTTCTGAGACGATTAAAAAAATTTGCAGATCAGGTAGATGCTTTTAGGGGTGTCATGTTCTCTGAGCTAGATCGTTTAACTGAAAAGCTTCAAAAGTCGTTTTAGACAAAATCATAAACTATGGTAGTCCTATAATCTTCACAAGTCCTCCTATATTAATAAGTCTTAGATTCTTAGGGAATTTCTAAAAGTATGGCATCAGTATGCGAATTAGCTGGCAATCGATAGGCGTAAAGGTAGATCCCATCCATCAACCCATACAGAAGAGGTCAATCAATTATATGATCAGAGATCAACCGAAACAGGCAATCAACAAGAGTCTAAGAATGAATTATGACAACAAAATCTACGAAGTCAAAGTATTACAAACAAGGCCATAAGAATAAACTAATTTAACATTTGTAGAATAACTGAAAAGTTCACTTCTACATGAAGTAGGTACTGACGATATTGTCCAGAACAGCAAATATAAACCTCGCAAGTAAACCAAGTAACTCGTAGGATACCACCACAAACAGCTTTGTATCTTAACGAATAAAAATAACCAAGCATATAATTGTTACATTTGATTTTTTTCAGGGTGCCGGTAAAACAAATGTAGCTTTATTGTGTATTATGCATGAACTTGGCAAATTTATTAATCCTGATGGTACCATAAATAAAGATGAATTCAAACTTATTTACATTGCACCTATGCGATCTTTGGTACAAGAAGTTGTTGGTAATTTTAATAAGGTTAGTCCTGTCAATTTTTGAGTGTTGTAAATTCATCTTTTGTTAAAATAGATTCAATATTAAAAATTGGTAATTAGGTACTCAATTTTTCTTGGTCTTTTTTTAAAATACATTGATTAACTGAATGTACATACATAAAAATGTATTCAACTCCGAGGTTATCAACCTTTTGATTTAAAGTAACGTACAAAATTTCAGGCTTTACTCATTGTGGGTATCTATTTATATTTTGTTTATTTGAACACATAAATATTGGTGCAAAGAGGCACCGAATACATATGCGCCATACAAATCACTTGATTTGTGTGTGGGCTGTGATACTGTCCGAGTGCCCAAACCGAAGCAGGGTTATATGTCAACTTCATATTTATTTCCGTTCTTAAACTTAAGGATTTAGTCCCTCACATCTATTAAAGGCAGCTATCGAACTTGGTTTTATCGTCCTATTTTTAATTGAATCCAGTTCAGTTGATTAAAAATTCACAAAGTTTATTCTTTCTGATCTGTTGTTAACTAACGGGAATAATTCCAAGCTATGGTTCGTATACCTGATTATTATGATTACATTTCCCCCCCTAGTCCAGTGTATACCAAAAGACAAAGCTCACAAGGAAAATCTATTTTGTAGAGAACAACAAGGTTTGACTTAAGTGAGGAACACATACATGTTATACCCGTATACCCACAATCACCTTGGAAATCGAGCACAAGTATGACTTAATAAAATAGCTAGTGACCTGTAAGAAGACGTTTTTCGTGCAAAAACGTGGAAATTAAAGCTTGAAAAATAAAGTAATCTGTTAGTGGTTTACTATGGATTTAACATCCTCACCACTTTCATGTATCAGAAAAAAGTTTTGTCTTCATTTCAATAATTACTGTTTACATTTCTGTTATCTTGTTTTATTTCAAGTTGTTAAGCAGTTATGGTATTAAGGTTGATGAACTTACTGGTGATCACCAACTTAGTCGTGAACAAATTTATGAAACACAAGTTATCGTATGCACACCAGAAAAATGGGATGTAATCACACGTCGTGGTGGGGATGAGCGAGCTTATATACAGTTGGTTAGATTAATTATTTTTGACGAAATTCATCTACTACACGATGATCGTGGTCCAATACTGGAAGCTATTGTTGCACGAACTTTACGTGCTGTAGAGAACACATCCGGTCTAGCCGTTTCTAATGATATTGGCGGTGGAGGTGGTGTTCGTCTTGTCGGTTTGAGTGCTACGCTACCAAATTATGAAGATGTAGCGACGTTTCTACGAGTTGATTGTTCGAAAGGATTATTTCATTTTGATAACAGGTTAGTAGCGTGTTTTTAGGACGTTTTACTAGAGTTTGAGTGTGTTTACACTTCCCTTTTTTGGTTGGATCACTGACCAAAAATAAACGCATCATTTTGATTATTTTCCTGACTAGCTCATAGTAACTGAACAAACCAAGTATTTGAATCCCTAAACGACTCTGTCATCTACCCTAAACATGTATATTGAGTTTATTCACCCTGTCATATGTTGTAGATGAGTAACCTGCACCAATTTGTACGAAACATCTATTAGTCATACTGTTCATTACAATAACACTCGTGTTAATACTCTTTGAAGATCGTATTCACTATATATACCAGAAAATCGATAAATACTTCAGTGTGATGAAGTAAATTCATTCCGCGATAGTATTCTTTGTATATACTTATCTTTATCCTTTTAAATCCAGCAATTTAGGTTTACTAGTGTTTAGGCACATTTATTTCTAGTATAATCTTTTGTTCAAATATGTTTTGTTCTCAGATATTTAAAACGTAACATTTTCCAGTAATGACAATTTTCATTTCAAACTTTAAAACTAACTGAAAAATATTCAAATCTAAAGTAATTGGACAGTCGTTTGCTTTTACTTGAAACATACCATGTGCTTACACGCTGGAACGTTACTATATAGTCTTTGGGTTCTATCCTTCAGTTATAAGCAACCTTACAAATTTGTGCATCGATTCAAGAGGTAACATCATATACCCCCAAACTACCGAAGATAAGGAGAGTCAGCCCTCCCGTCGAAATTCTCTCACATGACCACGTGATGATATGGAAGTCCTACTCACTGCATTCTCATGGCATGAGTGGTGTTTACGAAATCGAGAGGACGAAAAGTGGATGTCCGACGCTTTAACCAGGTTGGTGGACACGAAGAGTCCACCTAGGGGAGTTGGAAGACTCTGATTCCAAACCAGTGGTGCACATGGGCTCCAGGATCCTGAGAGGATAATTGGCACATGAATCTATTGTTGGTCACCGACTACCATGGGACTGCATCTCCTTACGTTGCTCCACTGCCTTGTAGATCAGACCTTTAGGTCAAAGGCTCAGGGTGTGGGGTCCTCTAGGAAAGTATGAATTCGTGAAATAAAAAGACAAGATAATTTCAAAACTTAAGATCCAAGAGGAGACAAAGAATGAATAGGTCAGTGGCATCGCAAATCATTCTCAGCTATGTTGCTCAATGCCTTCCGCTATTGGTTAGAATAATAACGCGAACTCAAACCAGGTAATCCGCACCTACCAGCATGGATTAGTCCAACTGTCAATGACTTTAGGGACTGGTGCCATGTCTTTTTTAGTCATCTCTAGTTCTTTTTTCAGCCCACTACTACCTCATGTCACTCAGTGACAGATTTCGGGTAATATTGCTCAAAATTGTTCTCAGTGCTCCCTGCGCATTCACTCTTTGTCTTCCCTGAGAACCTGAGTGCCGAGATCTTATACCCTATTTACCTCTATAGCCAATTTTTTTTACTATTATTAACACTTACTAATTTACTACTCTGGAATTTGTCTTGTCTGGCTGTGCTAATGTGTTTTAACATCTTGAATCAATGCACATGACTGACTAAATGGCTCATACACTAGTCAACATCGTGCTTCGAGGTAGGCGGTGTTTGGGCATCTGTAATACATATCCCAACCTCCTCAATGGATAAAAATTCACTACCTCATCAACCTATCCGCTTTCTTTACCTAGTAGATTACTTGTAACAGCATCGTTCACTCAGTGGTTCAAACATACACAAGCAATGTTTTGGACAATATAACTACATCGACTTCGGAAACTGATCTGGTTTTGCCGGGTTTGCTCTTCTGAGCTTTACTTGTTGGTTGGGTGACTGTAGAGCTTAGCATTTGGAACACTATTCATACTGGTTCCCCTGTAGTTATCCCAAGAAGATTACTATTCTTTCTTGTTAATTAGGGTGGTCATCACTGGAATGCCATCAGAATTTAGACATGTATTGTGAAATGATAGGTAATCTATCGAGCCTTCTTAACGATTGCTGTTGATGGAGATATAATCTATCTGTGTCCATCATTAAGTCAATTTTGGCGGTCTTTATTTCAGAGAACATCTTTCCTTATGCATAAAGTTGTTGCTTGCTAGAAACAGTTACCTAAGCATATTTGCAACAGACGGTCGCTGTTGTTTGTTAAGCTGAGACGCTATAAGATCCATCTAATCGCACTTTACATTCGTTTAGGTTAATTACTTGAGCATTAAAATTACGTGCTACTGTTACTTTACCTGAGGGTCTAGTTTTCGAAGGAGGCCAGAAATCTTTGTACAGAACTTCTCTTTTTCATTCGAACTCCAGTTAGTGTGAATTTAGATAGAGGTGACTAAGTGATAGCGACGTATGTCCTCGTCTTTCCTCCTTTTACTGGCGCGTTCAGTTGGACAGCCCACAAACGACTGGATTAATAATGGTCTTAGTGACTTAGGAGAGTGACCACTGAGCCCAAGCGACAACTACTTAAGGTCAGTAACACACAGTTTTTTGTCTCCGTTCTTTATAAGCCTTACTGCAGGAGACAAAAATCCATAGGGTTTAAGTGAAATGTGATATCTCATAGATTAACATTTTGTAATGCTTCTCTTGCGATGTAAAAAATGTAGCATTGTTGTAGATACCAGTTATTTGAAGGGAGTATCTCAGTGCCAACACAACCCTATACGTTTAGCACTATGACTTCTCACTCGGGTCCTTAGTTGCTACTTTTAGTTTTATCGTTCTCCAACCAATCTGCTTGACATGGTGGGACCTGTAAGAATAATTGCTGAAGCTAATTAAAGTCATGATAGGGAAGCCTGACCACTGTATCAAAGGTAACATCTACGGTCGAGTAGTCATTGGGTTAGATTTAATGAACTTGCACTCCCGTTAGATCGTATTATTTCTTATGTTCCATTCATTGTTGTTGAAAAAAAGAATTAATCTTCACTTTATACTTGAATTGCTAAATTTTAATGTCTTAATTCATATTAACTTTCATAATATTCTCGTTTTTATCATCCATAATTGATAGACTCATTTGTTTGTTCTTAATCTTTATGTTTTTGATGTAGTTATCGTCCTGTACCATTAGAACAACAATATATTGGAATAACTGAGAAAAAAGCTGTAAAACGTTATCAAATAATGAATGATATTGTTTATGATAAAGTAATGGAACATGCTGGACGTAATCAAATTTTAATATTTGTTCATAGTCGTAAAGAAACTGGAAAAACAGCACGTACATTAAGAGATGCATGTTTAGAAAAAGATACTTTAGGTATATTTATGAAAGAAAAAAATGCATCGGCTGTTGTTCTACGTCAAGAAGCCGAACAAGTAAGATTAATATTATTATTTGACCAATTAAAATCTATTATGTTAAAGTACATCATAATTTATTCTTAATTACTGTCAATTTACTAAAACTATTGTATTAATATCAGAAGGGTTTTGTGGATATGCACATTATAGTAATTTCAATGATTGAGATCATGAGTCAATTGAAGCTAGACTATCATGGAAAACCTGGATGCACTGGACTGCCATTTCGTCATATTGTGGGACTCCTCAGCAGTGCATTTTACTTTAGTTTTACTTTAGTTTTTACATTGCTGGTTATTTTTAGTTCGAATTTAGAACTTGACTACGTTCAAACAATTTCATTGTTTCTGATACTTTAAAGTCATATTTTAAGAATTTATTTCCTTTTAAATATTTGTCTCAATAGTCATCACTGTAGGTGGATGCATTCACTTAAAATTATTTTGCATGATAATAGGATATCTGATTAAACTTCTATGAGTGATCTTTTCCGTAAGCAATTGATAAATCTAAAATAGTTGTGTATTAATTGAGAAATTAACTTGAAACTGCGTAATTTGTAACTAATGTTATACTGATATGACAATATAACTTTTTGTATGACTAGGGCAAAACTACATTTGAATTGTTTTATTTTCCAGATTTTTATGATCGACATTATTTTAATTTTCATATCTAACTAATGAGCAAGTGAATAAACTATGCGAGATCCATACTCTTATTTAGGTTTGAGCAACTATATAGTACTGTCGTGAACGAAGATTCGATGGGGACAACCACTTTATTACAGTTGCAAATCTTCCATCAATTGTCCTTCATGATTATTCTATTTTTCAATTCCTTTATTTTTCCCCTTCTGTTTTCTTCAGTGCAATCTTCTCAACCTTCCTTGGATAGCCATTCCATTTCCGATTTGTGTTACATACTACTTATGTCGACAGACATAAGTAGCATGCGTCACAGTACCATTTATTTTAACATGGTGATCCATGGTGGTCTAGCTTCAATTGACTCATGATTTCAATCAGTGAAATTTCTAAAATCTCCACAAAACCCATTCTGGTAATAATTATCCTCTCACTAGTGACTGACTTCAAGAGATACTCCTGGAGTTCTAGTGAGAAGTCGTTACCAGTGGAATTCAACCAGGTCTGTTGTGAGATATTAACTCACTGAAGACAATGGTGTACGGTGACACAACTTCGTGGATTGGTTGAAGTTAGACATTAACATCGTTGGATGCCGGCTCAATGGTCTAGTTGGTTAAGCGCCTGGTGCGAGATTGATATGTCCTGGGTTGGAATCTCGAGGGGTGCGGGATCGCGGATGCGCACTGCTGAGGAGTGCCATACTAGGACGAAACGGCCGTCCAGTGCTTCCAGGTTTTCCATGGTGGTCTAGCTTCAATTGACTCATGATTTCAATCAGTGAAGTTTCTAAAATCTCCACAAAACCCCTTTTGATAATAAAAATATTAGCTCATAATCGAGTATATAGATCTAAATATGATTACTGAATTTAATCAATCACCAATGTTGGTTGGAATTTAAGTTGGGAAAAAACTTATTATCATCAGAATATCAATTTTACTGAAGTAGTTGACCAGATAAGGTGTCTTAAAAGATATAGGGTTTTTGATTAAAGTTTTCTAAATGTTATTGATTGAAAGCAAGTGAAATTTTTATAAACTGAATCTAAGATTTTTTAGGCACATTGAAATGTTTGTTTTAATTGTTACTTTATATAGTAATCTTATTTCATTTATGATAGTTATATTTATGATTGACGACGACGACGACGACGATACTATCATTTTATTCAAAGTTGAATTCTACGTTTTGTCTTATTATTTCTCATATATAATTGGTGATCATAGTTAGTTCTTTTTCTGGATTGTGTTATGAGATTAAATCTGTGGTGTTAGTAGATTTCAACACTTGTCTAGAAAATATTTTTTGTAGGATTTTGATGACAGCTTTTTACTAAAAAGAAATGCATGCAAATATTTAAACTATCCACCTATTTCCCGAATTCTATATAAGTGAATAATTTATTCTTACTATTGGTTATTCCACTTTTTCTCCCACTAAGGTAAAAAATCCTGAACTTAAAGATTTACTTCCTTACGGATTTGGTATACATCATGCTGGTATGAGCCGTGTTGATCGTACTTTAGTTGAAGATTTATTCGCTGATCGACATATTCAAGTTTTAGTCTCTACTGCTACATTAGCTTGGGGTGTTAATCTACCAGCTCATACGGTATTGATTAAAGGAACTCAGGTATTATAACATTTAATCCTTTTTTTTAAGTATTCTTACATGGTTATGATTTATGCCATTCGATGTCTGCGTTAATTGTATGTCTTAAGTTACTATAATACAAATTACTCTAGTTCAGTAGTGATAGCACAACAAACAAAAAAAGCTTTTAAACCCAAAATATATCACTGTGTAAGTCGAATGCTTTAATAAGTAAGCCTAGATTTTGTACAGATTAGATAATCAATATTGTATTTTACAGCTAGATTAGTTTCCTGTCCTAATTTCATTAAAATTATCAAGTACAAGTCACTGTTACTTGATAAAAAATAACATCAGTTTTGAATGAATCAACAAACATTAAAATTTTACGAGTAATCCATTAGTATTCAATGTTACGAGTGTTCAAAACAATGGATCAAGTAATAACCTACGTAGGTGTAATTTCCGGTTGATTTACTACAAATAAACAACTAAATGATGAGTACTCTTTAAACATTGATTGATATTTTATGCAGTAGCCCTAAACATGTACTTAATACATATATTGCCGGTGAATAACATAATGTTTCTGAATATCATAGTTTTCGGACAATTACAACGAAATACCGTCGTAGTTGGGCTATATCTAGTTACATATTAGAATACACTTGTTGACCCTGACTTCATTTGATAATGTCTTCTAGATGAATTATCAGGGTGGGTCTGTTTGGTGGATGATGCTTTATCAGACAGAACAATTTTATGCAAGCGCATTACATAGATTTATTGTGAATTTATTAGTTGACAAATCGGACTTAAATCCTCAACCTAATTTAGTCACTCCTAGTATACTAACTTAGTAAGATTACAGATTGCGAAAAGTGATGAACAACTCTATACACACTCACGGTTCCTGTTTGAATGTTGGTCACGCGACTCACCTATCCAAACCTGAGTAAGTCGTCTAAAAGTCGAATCCGTTACCGGTCAGTTACTTGGAAGTTAATTATTTTAGCACCACTAAACCATCGTTCCCAATTAGATGTGAGTAAATATCGAACGAATTCTTTATGACAAACTAACTTTGTAAAGAGAATAAATGACTTTGAATTTATCATCATCAGACTGCTTCAAATAGTTTTGAAGAAGTTTGTTACCGGATTTAAAAGGAATGGCTCATTGAAATAAACACTGATGTTATTATCTAAAATAGCAATATAAACTCCTTAATTAAACCATCTAGCTTAGGGAACACAGCACTACCAAAAAGTTCCCAGTCTGTATCATTTCTGACATGTGTTACCGATGCTTAGTTTAAAAACTAATGAGGGACTTCTTGATATTCGCTACTTCTAGTTTTTATCTAACCGTTTTAAGTTAAAATTTAAAAATTGTTTTGAAACAAAAACAATTTTCTTAATTGTTTTGAAAGATGAATACTTTATCAGTGTACTGATTGCATGTTTTCGTTTTATAAATAAACATACTCTGTAGATTTATAGTCCAGAAAAAGGACGTTGGACGGAATTAGGTGCTTTGGATGTTATGCAAATGCTTGGCCGTGCTGGTCGCCCTCAATATGATACGAAAGGTGAAGGTATACTGATTACAAATCATACAGAGTTACAATATTATTTAAGTTTAATGAATCAACAACTTCCAATTGAAAGTCAGCTGGTCTCACGTTTGGCTGATTTACTTAATGCAGAAATAGTTTTAGGTACTGTAACAACTATTCGTGAAGCAGTAACTTGGTTGGGTTACACTTATCTATACATTCGTATGCTTCGAAACCCCACGTTATATGGTGTACCACAAGGTAGTGAAAAGGATGACCCTTGGCTTGAACAATATCGTCGAGATTTAGTGCATACAGCAGCAATAGAATTAGAACGTTCACAGTTAATTCGTTATGATAGACGTTCAGGATGTTTGCAGTCAACTGAACTTGGTCGAATCGCATCACATTACTACTTAACTCATACAACTGTACTTTCATACAATAAATTGCTTCGTCCGGGTTTGGGTGAAATCGAATTATTCCGTGTGTTTGCTGCCAGTTCTGAATTCAAACATATGACTGTTCGACAGGAAGAACGATTTGAATTAGCCAAACTTCTTGAACGTGTTCCGATTCCAATCAAAGAATCTCCTGAAGAACCTTCAGCTAAAATCAACTGTTTATTACAAGCATATATTTCTGGATTGAAATTAGAAGGATTCTCTTTAATGTCTGACATGGTTTATATTACTCAGTCAGCTGGTCGACTTGTACGAGCAATCTTTGAAATTGTTCTTCATCGAGGTTGGGCTGAATTAGCAGATAATGCACTCACGTTGGCCAAAATGATTGAACGTCGTATGTGGGAATCAATGTGTCCTTTGCGTCAGTTTAAAAAGTTACCAGATGAAGTTATTCGTAAATTAGAGAAGAAATCAATACCATTTGATCGTTTGTATGATATGAATCATCATGAATTAGGTGAGTTGGTACGGTTACCTAAATTAGGTAGACCTCTACATAAATACCTCCATCAATTACCTCGTCTAGAAATGAGCGTACATGTTCAACCAATTACAAGATCAGCTTTACGTGTTGAGCTAACTTTAACACCTGATTTTATTTGGGATGAAAAAGTACACTCAACAAATCAAGCGTTTTGGATATTTGTTGAAGATGTTGATGGAAACAGTGTATTACATCATGAATTCTTTGTATTAAAACAACGTTATGGAACAGAAGAGCATGTTTTACGATTTGTTTTACCAATATTCGATCCATTGCCACCACATTATTATATAACCGCTGTATCTGATCGTTGGATTGGTGGTGAGGTAACTTTACCAGTATCATTTAGACATTTAATATTACCGGAAAAAACAATACCACCTACTGAATTATTGGATCTACAACCACTTCCAGTGACCGCATTAAGAAACAAAGATTTTGAAGCATTATACACAGATCGTGTCAAAGTATTCAATCCTATACAAACACAGGTACGTATTAATTCATATTTAATGCTACTGACTTAAGGATAAGATCAATTTCTTCTCATAAATTAAGCTAACTGTTTCAGACAATGTGTAATTGATTATCAAAACTAAACTAAGGTAAATCATTAAGAGAATAAATAATGCAGTTAATAAGATTTTACCTGCGATGCGTATATGCAGATGACGTATGTCTGCATCTTGCTTCTTCCAACAGAAACCAACTGGGTGAATAATGTTGATGTTAGACGTAAGGTACCAAGCGAAAATGCCAAATCAGCGAATTCGCATCAGTTGAGGTGGTAAAAACATATGTTGTTTATGCTTGTCTATTGTCTATCTAGATACTCCATCCTAGATTGCGTAGTTGTTTAAACGAAAGGTGGTGATGGCTAAACCAAGACGCGAATTCACTGACCGTTGCTCTCAACCGTATTGGTAAACGCAGCTTACGCTTTTAGGTCTGAACGATAATTGTGATTTGTGTTAAGTGATTTTAGTTAACGTGGCTTTAAATCGACCAGTTACGCAAATGAACCTACTGTTTATATCCACCTCTTGGTTTTGAATCCCAATATTATTTCATATCTTTTATTTTATGAATACACACTCCTCCTTAGACCAAATTGTATGAGCATTCTATCATCTGATAGCTCTTGTATGATCAAAATGTTGTTAGTGTTAAGCACAGCTTTCGGTGAGTGTGATAAATCGGGATAAGTAGTCGAGTTCACGTCTCCTCTAACTCAATTTAACACTCTATGACATTAATTTTATTCTCAATTTTTTGAAATTTTAACGTTGTTTAATTTCTCAGTATAACGTTCTAGTCAGTTTTTAATACATTTTCCAGTGAAACATCATTTCATGCCGATATCTTCCATATCAATTAAGTGTAAATTTCGTTTAAAGTATATTCCTTATCGTATTGTGTATGAACTGTGTATATGTTTTACAATAATTGTGTGTCGTTTTTCATCCATTTAATGTTTATTAACCAATCAAGTGTTGTATATGTAAAATCCGCATATAAATGAGTATATTCGATTGAATGATGACATGATTTTAGACAAATCCTTTTTAGGTATTTCAGTCGACGAAGTTGTCAACCTATACTCATACAACTTTTTATAGTATTTTATCCATATTATAATTTATACACTTTTCGATTCATGGTTTCCCTCCCTTCCCTTAGGTTTTCAATTCCCTATATAATTCAGATGAGAATGTCTTAATAGCAGCTCCAACTGGAAGTGGCAAGACAGTTTGTGCTGAATTAGCAATATTTCGTTTAATAACTACACATAATAGTAGTTCAACAAATCAGACAGATTCTTCAGGTACAACTGCCAATTTTCGGTGTATTTACGTTTTACCACCACATGAAGAACAAGTGGAACAACGTTATATTGATTGGGCAAGTCGATTTGGTGAGAAGTTAGGTAAACGTGTCGTTCGATTAACTGGAGAAACCTCTGTGGACTTAAAATTATTAGCTCGTGGGAATGTAAGTTTTTGTATTAAATCATATTAAACAACAATTTTACTATTCTAAATGTACTTATAACGTATACTGTGTATATTGACGTCTTGACGATGATATTTTGATTATTGGTTAACACTAGAATCAGTGACATGTGTTTCCTACTATTTGACATTCATCCGGTGGATCATAGACTGTCGCCGATGATAATGTTCACTGATATCTTAATTATGATACATTTCATTTCTTCTCTTAATTAGCTCTGCTGAGTTTGTATATGCAGCTTACCTCAATAATGCTTTCTCTTTTTTATTTCTATTTAGATCATAGTAACTACACCAGAACACTGGGATGTGCTATCCAGAAGATGGAAACAACGTAAAAATGTACAAAATATCAATTTATTTATTGCAGACAATTTACATTTAGTTGGTTCTGAAGGCGGCTCAGTGTTAGAAGTGGTGTGTTCAAGAATGCGTTACATCAGTAGTCAAGTGGATAATCCAATTCGTATAATTGGCTTGTCTCATAGTCTTACCAATGGTCGTGATATTGCTAGCTGGCTTGGTTGTACTTCTGGAGCAACTTACAATTTTCCACCTGCTACTAGACCCATTCCTTTAGAATTGACTATTATGCCGTTCAATATTCCACACCAAGCGTCTCGTTTGTTAGCGATGACTAAACCTGTTTATCAACTAATAACACGACTAGCATTTACCCCAAGTCCTGCGGGTAGCTCACAGCATTCTCAGCGTAAACCAACTTTAGTTTATGTGCCTACCAGACGTCAAACACAAAGAGCTGCTCTCGATTTGATAACCATGTTCGCTGTCAGCAATGCAACATCTAAATTTCAAACTATTTCAAGTCACTTGGAAGAAGCTTTATCTCGTGCCGCTGATCAGTTAGCAGATAGAGCATTAGCTGAAGTTATTCGTCATGGTGGCGGTGTAGCTTATTTACATGAAGCTATCTCAAAACCAGATCGTCGATTAATTGAAGTGTTATTCGCTGCCGGTGCATTACATACCTTGGTTGTATCACGTGCGCTTGTTTGGGCTGCAGCCTCACCAAATCCATTGACAGCCTATCTTGTAATTGTAATGGATACACAAGATTATAATGGAAAGATTCATGCTTATGAAGATTATCCAATAGTTGATTTGATTGAGATGTTAGGGCATGCTAATCGTCCGAATATCGATAGTGAAGCTAAAGCTGTTGTATTATGTCAAACTGGAAAGAAAGAATTCTTGAAAAAATTCCTTCATGATCCATTACCAGTGGAATCACATCTAGATCATGCTCTACATGATCATTTCAACGCTGAAATAGTCACCAAAACTATTGAAAATAAACAAGATGCTGTGGATTATTTAACATGGACTTTTCTCTATCAACGTATGACACAAAATCCAAATTATTATAATTTACAGGTAAATTTCAATTTCTTTTATTAAAAATTTCATTATTCCTAATCAACTAAGCGGTAATTACTTGGTGACATACTTTTTTTCAGTTGATTATAAGTCATATGATCTTGGTCCCATCTTACTGTTATCATGTACTAGTCAATATTTTCGATGCCAATTATCAGAAAAATATGTTTTCTATGTTTCACAATGTGGTGTATAATCGTTAGTTATTCTAAAAGTTGATATGTATAATATTTGATGATTTTCTTCTGTAGCTTAGCAGCAGCTTAAAGTCGAGTACACAAACCTGTATTTGATTATTGAGTATTATTATTATTATTATCTGTGAATTTCTCCCCTTACCGTTAAATTGCTTTCAAAACACTAGATTGTGAGAAAAAAATCGAAACACATAACTCGTAGCGAAAATAATTGTTTATTAGGAAGTCAGTCCACTCTATGATGAGTGGATTAGTACTATTTATTTTAAGTCCCTAGTCTGTAACTGATAATTTACCAGCACGTTAATCCCAAATTTTGTAATAATATCAATGTTACGAAACGACAACGTGATTGGTAGCAGGTATCTTGTGGTGAACCACTTTTAAGGGTTTATTATTCAATAAGTATTGACTTTTTTTTTCTTGTTTTGACATCCCATTGTAGTTTAGTCAACTTTAAGAAAAGTTTTTGTTTATTCAACTTACTGATTACGTTTAAATCTAAGCATTAGTTTGTAAATTTTACATACTGTCCTATAGGAAATGTTATAATCTCTTTTCTTACGGTATGACCCAGCTATACCTACTGCTTAATAGTCTTGGACACCAATCACTCGACAAGCCCACAAATCAAAACACGGTTGAACAAGAAAGAGATAATATTCCAAATAATAAGGTTAGATGGAAGTAAGATGCAAGCAAGTGGTACAATAGAGAAAACGTTAGTATATCTATAGTTTTTACATGAGAAGATTCTAGAGTATTCTCCAAATATCGACTAGTGCTGATTGGATACGAAATTAGCTAATCAGCGTGCACCAAAGCAATCGTGCATTGAGCATGCTTTAATCCAGTGTATGCCCCGCTAACAGGAAACGGTACTATTCATCTGTTAAAACCTTAATAAGTTTATCAATGTCAGCAGTTGCTCTTTAACAGTTTCATCTGTTCTGTAATGCTTATATTTTACTCGAAGAATGCATTTTCAGTGTCGAGTATTTTAACTATATCGTCGGTTGTTATCTGAGCTACTGGGAAACTACAATAAAAATTTCCAGTTTCAAATCATCCTTCGTTTATTTTAATTTAAACAAGAAAATAGAGTGTACAAATCTGTTACATTGAGGCTATTGGGATCGAATCTAATTCTTTAGTACATCACGGTGATTTCCCTGGTTCTGTACTATTCGACGATGGAATTTTGGTATGCTGTATACACCGAGATATATAAAAATTTATGGATTATCTCCACATATAACAAACAACCTTAAAATAATTTCACTTTATTGTCATACGTTTAATTTCAATACTTTATTATTATTATTATTATTATTATTATTATTATTATTATTATTATTATTATTATTATTATTATTATTATCAGGGTGTGACACATCGACATTTAAGTGACCACCTAAGTGAATTAGTCGAGACCACATTGAATGATCTGGAGACATCCAAATGTATTTCTATAGAAGATGGTATTGATTTGGCTCCATTAAATTTGGGCATGATATCGGCGTACTATTATATTCAGTACAACACAATAGGTAAGTTAACTAGTTATATCCCTTTTTTGTTTGCTAATAATCATCTTTTTTTCTAGATAAAATTAATTCCTGGTAAGTGTTTAATTTATGTTAAGTTATTGATCTGTGAAGTATTAACACCAGGTGCAGACCATCTGGTTAATGTCCGTACGGTCATAGAATCAGATGTCAAAGAATTTAAGTGATTGTGCTCAAAGTCATTTACAGTGATGCCGATGTATCTACCTTTTCTCAGTACTCCTTTACATTTCTAGTCTCAATATTGTAATACACTTACTACTTTACATAAAACTTATTAAAACTTTCACAGATTGAAATCATGAGTCAATTGAAGCTAGACCACCATGGAAAACCTGGAAGCATTGGACGGCCGCTTCGTCTTAGTACGGGACTCCTCAGCAGTGCGCATCTACGATCCCGCACTTAGCGAGATTCGAACCCAGGACCTATCGGTCTCGTGTCAGGCGCTTAACCAACTAGACCACTGAGCCGGCATCCAACGATGTTAATGTCTAACTTCAACCAATCCACGAAGTTGCGCCACCGTACACCATTGTCTTCAGTGAGCTGATATCTCACAATAGACCTGGTTGAACTCCACTGGTAACGACTTCTCACTAAAACTCCAGGAGTATCTCTTGAAGTCAGTCACTAGTGAGCAGATGATTATTATCAAAAGGGGTTCGTGGAGATTTTAGAAATTTCACTGATTGAAATCATGAGTCAATTGAAGCTAGACCACCATGGAAAACCTGGGAACACTGGACGGACTTAGTATGGGATTCCTCAGCAGTGCGCATTCATGATCCCACAACCCACGAGATTCTAGAATCTCCACAAACCCCTTCTGATAATTAAAACTTTGACATGTAAAGTACAAAATGTTATCTACTTATTTTCAAACCATTTTGATGAATTTAAACTGTTAACAATCTATCGTGTTGTAAATTTGAAAAGCTTTTAGAACACTACTCATTCAGTTTGACTAGTCACCGTTTTGTAAATTTCCTAAGGTTATCCTCTTTTATAAAGCTAAATATTAATGATGTTCAAGATGTTGAAGCGACTTGAATCTCATGCATAAATTAAATATCTCGAATATGTTCAAATGCTTAGCCTGACCAAGTTCTTAAGTACTGTAAAGTATTGAAACGAAATTAAAGGATCAATTTTTATGTTAAATTGTTAGTGGATTCTTTGAATATCTAGTGGAAAATCCCTTGTCTTGATCGACACATTTCTCTATAGTGCCAATGAAATTAGCTGATGATAAAAGTTTAATATTTCATTATTTTTCATCAGTTGATAAGGTAGAAAGTATTTATTATTAAATCATAACTTTGCATAAGATGTGAATATTTTAGTTACAACATTGTCACTTCCAAACTGATGGCGTTTGTATTCTGTATAGCTTCCAAAGAAGTGTTAGATACTCGTCCTTTTCCATAGGTTAATTCAAGGCATAGTGAATAACTTGTATACGGTTCTTACCACAAAAGTTATGAATACATATTGTACTGAATTATCAAAACAAATAGCACTATTAAACTACACAACCCTCAGAGAGCTGTTCAATAAGATTAAACAATTCAATCCACAATATATTGAGTAGACAAATCGACATAAGATACAAAATTATTACTGGTCAAAAGAATATAGTTTTACTCCTGTTAATTCGAGAATAATATTCTATCTTTTTTGGGGTATATCAAAATAATCCGTTAAACAAGTAACAATCAAATCATAAAGAATCAAGTGAACAGTTTCTAAGATTAGAGAGATCAAGTTAAAACAAAATTAATCCAATCAGTAAAGACCTATACAATTGGATGAAATGTTAGAGAAAACTAAAATTGTAATTAAAATCAGCAATCACATACCTATCTAGGATTAAAAAGTCAAACTTCATCACATTACATTTAAGAGTAAGACAAATAGTTTTTGTCACAAACACTTATACATGGAAAGTTTTTTTGATGAGACTATAATTTATGGACAACCTTTGAGCAAGGCTAAAGTGACTGAGAATATCCATCTACTAACTAGGACCGAATGAGGGTTATAAAAGCAGTTTGAAGAATAAGGATTATTGTTATTTATTTATTTATTTAAACACGTAAACATTGGTACAAGAAGGCACCAACTAGATATGCGCCACATAAATCATTCGATTTGTGTGTGGGCTGGGATACTGCCTGGGTGCCAAAATCGAAGCAGGTGGATTTCTTTAGGACCCACACCTAGAGTCTTTGACCTAAAGGTCTAATCCACAAGACAGTGGAGCAATGTGAGGAGATGCAGTTTGATGGTTACCGATGACCAACAACTGGTTCATACGCCATTTATTCCCTCAGGATCCTGAAGCCTATTTGCACTATTGGTTTGTAATCAGGGATTTCCAACTCTCCGTGTCCACCAACCTGGTTAAAGCGTCAGACATTCACTTTTCGTCCTCTCGATTTCGTAAACAACACCCATGCCGCGAGAATGCAGTGAGTAGGACTTCCTTATCAGTGGTTGTATGTATGCACGTGGCCATGTTAGAGAATTTCGAGAGGGAGAGCTGACTTTCCAATTTCTCGGTCGTACCAAGACATTTGAGGCAAGGATTATGATTAACAGTTGTTAATTAGGGTTATGAATTAGATTTACAGTTTTCATCACAAACTGACATAAGCCAAAATAGTAAATTTTACTTCAAAATCCAAAATCTCTTATCTAATATGTGGTTAGTTCGTTTATGATTTGCAGTCTCCTCGTCTAATTATATAATACTAATGCTATAATGTTATAAATGTTGAAGAAAATGTACTTACTAGTTAAATTTACACTTTGTGATAATAAATTATTTCTAAACAATCCAAACCTTTTCACAGACCATCTACATGTATATATATATATATATATATATATATATATATATATATATATATATATATATATATATATATATATATCATTATATCTACTAATGGTATATAATACTGTATTTTCTCAATTTATTTCCTTTCTATTTTTGTGTACAGAATTATTCAGTTTATCATTAACAGCTAAAATGAAAATTCGTGGTTTATTAGATGTGATTAGTAATGCAGCTGAATTTGATATATTATTACCTGTACGACATCATGAAGATATATTATTACGTCAATTAAGTGTAAAAGTACCACAGAAATTAGCACCAAAAGCTAAATTTTCTAGTCCACATGTTAAAGCAAATTTATTATTACAAGCACATTTATCACGTTTACAATTACCAAATGAAATGCAAACAGATACTGATCGTTTATTAAGTTGTACTATACGTTTAATTCAAGTAAGTTTATTGTATATTCTATTAAACAATGAATATTATTCTATCATCTTTTCTAATGATATAGATAATTTGAACTTTTTTATTGTTATGATTTTATGTTCAGCTCTTTATCACATGATTTATCCACCCAATCTTCGCACTATGCCAACCAATAACGTTCAACCCGGTATGAGCAGTCTAGCGTCCTTATTTAGTTCTATGTCCTTCTAGCCCGTCCGATTGAGTCCAGAACACCAATACCAGCTTCTGTAATATGGATTGAATCGAATCGAATCATTTATTTCAGACATATTGAGTTTATATATCAATCAGACAGACCACAACGTACTATAAAATAGAAAATAACATGTGTACACGATTAAAGCCAAAAAGTGACTGTGAACGTGGGAGATAATAATTAATACACAGGTCATAACTCAAGAATGATAAATTGTACGGTAATAGTCTATGGGTCAAATTAAGGCTTATAATAAGTGGAATATAAATACACATAATGTAATTATTAAATAATTCTACAATAAGAATATTTATAGAATATTAATTCATTAATAGTCCTTGAAAGTTACCCGTAATTTAATCTTTACTCGGATATAACACTTATCAAATCCAAATGTTTGTTCTGTTAACCCAGAAAAAAATATGATCATTAGAAATAGTTTTTATTGTATTTCATTATTTATTGAATGTTTAAATCTGATTCATCTTAACTCTTATCACTTGATTATTGTTTACGAATTTTATACTAGTGGTTATTTGTCAGGTCAAATTTTTATAACTGTAGAAATGATGATTTACATGGTATTGTTTTTTACATGAATCTTTCCGTTGATGTTCAAGATTACAATTGATCAGTCGCATATTGACATTGGTACATCCTGTGTGTGTTGCTTCGATATATTGCCTTAATTTACAAGTATTGTAAGCAAAGATGGATAGTGGCTAACAGTGGAATGCAGGACGCACGTTTCGTCTTATTTCGAACTTGTCATTTGGATGTACCTGCATCTCAGAGTTGATGTTCACTCTGGGACTGGAAATGATGTTTTTAAATTGTTAGCTAACTGTTTTCTCAACAAGTGTATTATAATATTACTGTCGTTCATTCCATAACTTTATATCTCAGTTTTTTTCGTGTTCATGATATTTGAGTTATTTCCATGTAAGTTTTAGTTATTCCCTCATCTGAGCACAGTTAGTAATCATATGATCATTTTAGTTTTATTACTAAGCTATTGTTGTGATCAGTCTGAATGACTAAAACCTTTTTATCATTAAAATGATTAAAAGCCAAAAACTTTCTAATTTAAACTGCAATAAGAATGATGTATCATTAATGATTTGACCTTGTTGAAAATATTCCAAGCCCAGATAAAAGAGGTGGGTTGGGCATGGGGTTAGTTACATCGTTATGTAGAGAATATCCTTGCTAGAAATATGCTAACCAGAAAAAAAAACAATTAAACCATTTAAACTCTGTCCTGAGATTTGAAGAATCTTCATTCAGGAGAGTTATGACGCCTCACGGTAAAAGCCGAGATTCTTCGGAAGTTACGAGACAAATGCCCCTTCTAAAAACCTGAGGAACAGTTAACATAGACGGTGCAGATGTAAAGGCACGGATCGGTAAAACAAGGTCCGCATTCCTACAACTAAAGAATATATGGAACTCAAAACAACTATCAACCAACATCAAATTCAAAATCTTCAGTACGAACATCGAGACAGTTCTACTTAACGGTGATGAAACTTGGAGAATTACCACAGCCATCATCAAAACGGTAGAAGTATTTATAGACAATTGTCTATGCAAGTTACTCAATGTCCGTTGGCCGGTACCATCAGCAACAGTCTACTGTGGGAGAGAACAAACCAGCTTCTAGATGAAGAGGAAATTAGGAAAAGACGATGGAGGTGTATAAGACATAAAATATAACCTGAAGGTAATACGAAGAGAGGAAGATCCAGGAGCGTATGTCGTCGTGAATGGAAGACAGGACTGAGTCATATATATTAAAAACTCCGGTTGATCTGCCTCGGTTACCAAGTGTCGATCAATCATGTGCAACGTAGAACCTGATATACATACGGGTCGGTTCAAGTCGCCATATCCCAATAACACAGCGAGCTAAGATTCCGAAGATAAATCCAGTGGTGGTAGAAAAAATTGAGTGTATAAAAAGAAAAAAAAACACGGAACGCACATCACAAGTAAATTGCTCCGATAGAACCTTTTGTTCCAATTATCTTTAATATCTGGCATGTGGCCAACAATGAAATCCAGGACTCGCGTTTTACTTCATTTGAGACTGATCGGCTGGATATCCCTGGATCCCACTATTGTTGTGACTTGAACTCAGTCCCCACCTGTCTCCTCAAAGGCCAGTTTATCCATTAACTAAATAGAATTTGACGGGCGTGCTCCGAATTTCACTGCTAACTGCATACTAAGCATGACTTTAGTCGGAATCAAAACTGTCAGTTTCAATGAAGATCAAGGTGAATTTTAAACGACTAGATCTTGATTCTTTTTGTCATAATACTAAGAAATAATTTTGTATAACATTTCATAATGATGTAATTGTGCGTAAATACTTTTTTGTATTTTAGGCTTGTGTAGATGTTTTATCCAGTAATAGTTGGTTAGGTCCTGCTTTAGCAGCTATGGAACTATCACAAATGTGTACACAAGCTGTATGGCATAAAGATTCTTATTTACGTCAAATACCACATTTTACAGCTGAACGTATTAATCAATGTAAAGAAAATAAAGTGGAAACTGTATTTGATTTAATTGAATTAGAAGATGAAGAACGTAATCAATTACTAGATGGATTAACACAAGTTCAAATGGCTGATGTAGCTAGATTTTGTAATCGTTATCCAAATATTGAAATTACTTATGAAATTACCACAAATAATGGAAATAATGCATTAAAAACACCTATACGAACGTAAGTTTTTATGACTTATCATCAACTGTGATACTTGAAAAGATTACAAATTCACCTATATTTGCGAACGGAACAAAGACTCAGCGACACAATAACCAAATAAGCTAAACTATTGCAATGCGTCTCAACCCCACTAACATAAGAGAGTATTCTAGGTTCAGAAGAAGGAACATGTATTCCACAAGCAGCCAGAAGCACAAACAACAACAAGCACAACTTAAGCGTATGTATACAGCATAAAAATGTCTTTAGGAAACGTTACATAATAGCATATTAAAGAGATAACGTATCAATGACATTTAGGGTCCTTCCAAATGGGAAATACGATATAAAGGTGAAAATGAGCGCCTTCGGCGCGAAAACAATAAGCTCAAATTTCCAAAATAAAATTACAAAAATCAGACATTTACCAAATGAGTTCTGAGAATCTAGCATCCCTAACAAGTTTCCAGTTCTAATTCACTTGACAGTGAATAATCGGCTACGCTACAAAGTTGATTAATTGTAATGTAGCTGACTGACTGAATGTTAACAATTAGGAATATAATTCCATGATCGGCAACAAGACTGAACACTTTAGTGTTAATGCATGAATGAGTACACACTGCTAAGAAGAGCCTTAACTAGACTTAATAATAGTCACCCAATATGCTTTCCAGTTTCCAATGATTCCTAAGTAGTGAAAACCTTGTGTTCAAACGGTGTTATATCTGCTAAGTTATGGGCAACTGCATAGCATCGTTCACATTGTTTCTCGCATTATGAAAATTAGATATAATTTCCCACTGTCTGTAAGTTCGTTTGTTAACTGAGACAGAAGCTTTGACTCAATGACTGGAATATGAATAGTCAATGGTACTGGATTATTACATCATCATGCAATCATATTTCATTTCATTTTTACGTTCTAATTTATTTACTCCTATTTATTGAGTATTTTTTAAATGCAAATACTTTTATCATTCATTTTTTCATGTCAAGTGGTGAAACATTAACTGTACAAGTATCGTTAGAACGTGAAGAAGATAATGTGGGTCCAGTTATAGCACCGTTTTTCTCTCAGGTAAGATTATTTATACTTTTTTACAGTATATCATTATTTATTAAAATACATCAGTATTGGTATAAGTAAGCGTTCAAACAAATATACGTCATACAATAAAAAATGAGATTCTCAAGAGATAGAAGAAGGTGAGTATAATCAACATTAGTGAAAGGGAGAATTAGTTCAACCGTTCCGGAATCCGTTTTTGCGTGGGTGGAGATGATGAAAGGATATTGTTTTTCTCACGGTTTTCTTCCCACTTATAGAGCTTTCAAATCTAACGCTACATAATGACTGTTAATAAGGATCCAGGCGGTTAGTGCTGCCTCAGATGTGGCACTCATTGAGACATGAACGCCAGAAAAACCAGGCGAACACGCCACAGCGTCCCGGATAAACGCACGTGAAATAAGCCTTCCGAAGTGACAAACGTAGAGTGAATTCGTAGTACTTCACTGGAGTCTTGAATACAGGTTTCGGATGGACAAGACATCGATATTACGGTTTTCTAAAGACAACCGACTATATCTGCTGTCTCGTCTGCATTAGTATGCGAACGTTGAAGGAGGTCAGTTTGAATGGAACAAGTGATTTGAGAAGGGTTAATTTAAAATCCTTATTCAATGGTAGCACTCAGCTTTCGACCATTCAGTGACTTGAGATCATTTGAATAGGACAAGGTTTCCACCATAGGCGATCTGCTTTGTGAGATGAAAAATAGAAATAAACAGAATGTTAATAAAAAGGATGTGTAAATTAAGTCTTTATGTAACTAAGTACTTGCAACAGTTGTTCATGTAGATAGCGAGTACAAACCACTTTGTTACTTTTGTGTGGGCAAAGATGCTGCCCGGGTGCCAAGATGGTTTTCTCAGATGGGCCCTCCTTGATCCTTTGACCTAAAGGTTTAGTCCACAAAGCTGTGTAGCAATGTGATGAGATGTGGTCCCGTGGTAGCCGGTAACCATGACTAGGTTAATAACCCATTTGTTCCCTCAGGATCCTGGAGCCTGTTTTCACCATTGGTATAAAATCATGATTTTATAACCCCTACGTGGGTCATTCGTATCTACTAACGCAGTTTTAACGCTACATATTCGATTTTCATCTTCTCAGTTGTGTAAACAATAGCCGTTCCGTAAGAAGACAGTGAATAGGATTTACTCGTTAGTGAAAGAGTTAATGAATTCTCACTCATGGTCTTACTGGGGCATTTATTGTCGTTGTTTTTATAATCACTATAATGATAAATACAACTTCAATTAAATTACAAAACACTTAAATTTGTAGAATTGTTGAAAGTGTGGATAGCTTGATTGTAAAAAAAATTGTTGCATATTTATCCATTCTAATTTTAATCTTAATTGTAATCCCATTTAATGTCTAATAATGCTTTCAATCAGTGAAATTTCTAAAATCTCCACGAAACCCATTCTGATAATAATCATCCGCTCACTAGTGACTGACTTCAAGAGATACTCCTGGAGTTTTAGTGAGAAGTCGTTACCAGTGGAGTTCAACCAGGTCTGTTGTGAGATATCAGCTCACTGAAGACAATGGTGAACGGTGGCACAACTTCGTGAATTGGTTGAAGTTAGACATTAACATCGTTGGATGCCGGCTCAGTGGTCTAGTTTGTTAAGCGCCTGGTGCGAGACTGATAGGTCCTGGGTTGGAATCTCGAGGGGTGCGGCATCGTAAATGCGCACTGCTGGGGAGTCCCACAATAGGACAAAACGGCCATCCAATGCTTCCAGGTTTTCCATGGTGGTCTAGCTTCAATTGACTCATGATTTCAATCAGTGAAATTTCTAAAATCTCCACAAAACCCATTCTGATAATAATGATTTCTTTCTCTCATTGATTGGAATATAAATTTTTAACATTTGTTATTAAAGTATTACTGATCTCAAACATACTTATAGTTGTGGTGTGTATATCTTAAAATTTTCGTTTTGAGTATTTAAGATTTAGATATGTTTTTACATTTCCTAACAACATTCAATAAAACAACCTCTGCGTTAGTTTTCAGCTAACTCGAAATCTGAGGAACATTAGCAACAGTCAAATTGTTTTCTTTGATCCTCGAAAATGTAAATTTGTGAAGATATTTTTTTTGGATTTAATACTAGATTAACATCTTAACTATCGATAAAGTATTGATTTAATGACCATAAGCTAGAACTTACCCGGTGTCAGAATAACCCTAGTTTTTTTATCGTCTACCAAAATCTTACCATAATTTTATCTAAACTGAAATGAGTAATACTCTGTTACATTTATTTGTATATTGAGCATATCTTAGGCGAGACGTCCATGATCATAGCTAATCAACAATTTATAACATATATATGTCAGTAACAACTTTTTGCCATTGAATGTGATCATATTTTTATCTGTAAATCAAATTACAGATTTAGCTAGATAAACCTGTTATTTTAATTCTTGTTATTTTGTAGCCCCGTGAAGAAGGTTGGTGGTTGGTAGTTGGAGAAGTAAAAACAAATTCATTAGTTGCAATCAAGCGCCTATTTGTTTCACAATCAATGAAAGTTCGCTTAGATTTGAGTGCACCAAACCATTCAGGTCGTCATGAATTCACGTTGTTTTTTATGTCAGATGCGTATATGGGTTGTGATCAAGAGTATAAATTTCAAATTGAAGTACGTGAAGGAGGTGGAGGGACAGGTGGACGAAGCCATAATGACTAACGAAATCTAACATAACTGTTAATTATTTTGTCCATACATATACAAACCCTTGTACACAACCACTTACCGTTTTCTTTTATACACATCTCTTGTAGTATTCTGTTTGTTTTCTTGTGCCGTTAAGAGTAATTGTATATATAGTAGTTTTATTCTAAATTTATTGCATGAAACGCTCCGCAATCAGTTCGTGAAATTGAGAGACACTTTTTACTATTTTGAAAGAGTAAGGATGACGCTGAAAGCGGTTTGGTCACCTCTGATAATGTCAGTAGTCAGACTCTTAAGAAAATTATTCTATCAGTTTAACCTTACTCTAACTTCATCAGTAACCGGGTTTTGGGGAAATATACTATGACTATAGAACGTTTTAAGAAAGTATCAGAAAAATAAATAAGTAAATGTCACGATGAGGTTTACAATCCATATTATAATAATAGAACTTATTTAAAAAGTACGAATTTTTTCACTCGCTTACCTAAAACGATATATGCGAAATTCGAACATTGAACTTAATAGATCGAAGCTGATTACTTTAACCACATCGTATGTCAGTATCAGATTTCGGACACCGCCCGTCACAACAGAACTTTTCATGAATTCCCAGTTTTGAACGTTGTGATATACATACCTAAAGCTATCAACAACCTAATATATTTGACTACTGTTAGAATTTGGAAAAATTAATGGGATAATCTTCAATCAACAAACGCTGGAGTTTCGTGGGTAATCCATTAGTATTCAATGTTATGAGTGTTCAAAACAATGGATCAAGTAATAACCTACGTAGGTGTAATTTCCGGTTGATTTACTACAAATAAACAACTAAATGACGAGTACTCTTTAAACATTGATTGATATTTTATGCAGTAGCCCTAAACATGTACATATATTGCCGGTGAATAACATAATGTTTCTGAATATCATAGTTTTCGGACAATTACAACGAAATACCGTCGTAGTTGGGCTATATGTAGTTACATATTAGAATACACTTGTTGACCCTGACTTCATTTGATAATGTCTTCTAGATGAATTATCAGGGTGGGTCTGTTTGGTGGATGATGCTTTATCAGACAGAACAATTACATAGATTTATTGTGAATTTATTAGTTGACAAATCGGACTTAAATCCTCAACCTAATTTAGTCATTCCTAGTATACTATCTTAGTAAGATTACAGATTGAGAAAAGTGATGAACAACTCTATACACACTCACGGTTCCTGTTTGAATGTTGGTCACGCGACTCACCTATCCAAACCTGAGTAAGTCGTCTAAAAGTCGAATCCATTACCGGTCAGTTACTTGGAAGTTAATTATTTTAGCACCACTAAACCATCGTTCCCAATTAGATGTGAGTAAATATCGAATGAATTCTTTATGACAAACTAACTTTGTAAAGAGAATAAATGACTTTGAATTTATCATCATCAGACTGCTTCAAATAGTTTTGAAGAAGTTTATTACCGGATTTAAAAGGAATGGTTCAACGAAATAAACTATGAAGTCAACGATCAGAACGACATTCTAGGCTTTACGGTTGCATTTTCTACATATCCACATGTCTGTTTACGGTCATCTTTAAAAGTAACCACAACTGGCTTTAATTACATATGTATACAGAACTATTCCGGAAATCCCTACTTAAATACGAAACGGAATTCGTTATTTACTTTTCCCATTCAGTTGTTCGAAATATTAATATAACTACAGTTTAATGGACTTTGCAATTATTGCAACTGAATAGTGAATTAAATCTAGCTTTGATTCCCATGAAGAGCGCAACGCCACTACTTACAGGAAACAATAGGTATGGTGAATACAATTGTTTTTACGGCGAAAAATTCTTTCTTAATACAAAACGCTGACTTCCGATTAGACTGTTTCTTATCTCGTATTTTATTATCCCTCAAAATAGAAGTTACGAACGTACCTAACCATTTGCAAGAAACAGCTGCAAGAAGCATAGTGTTTGAAACCAGTCATCTACAAAAATACTGGTCATAGAGGATTGTCCCACTGCTCCAACGCCTTAAGTCAGACTCATTTGGCGAATGAACCGAAAAGACGTCGACTGCTAAGACAACAAATGTCACTCAGTCGAAACCATCTATTACGAGTTTCCTCCAGGAATGAAGATAAAAACAACATGAAATAATCACTCAACTTTCTTCAAGCCAGCCGGATTTCAATCAAGTAGTAAGTTCACTAAGCTGACCTTTACGCTCCAGATGATGCATAAAAATCATCGCACATATATCAGGTTAACAGCCCTCATACTTCTTGACATCAGGCATTCCTTTTAATCATTTGGCAGAATTGTAGACATAAAAGTGGACTGAAGAAAGCTGGATCTGAAAGGCAACAGTGACGCATATAAGAATTCACTTTCACTGTTCCAAGCAAGTTGTACGGTTTATTAGGGTTGCATCTTCCCCTTCAAGTTGCATAAATACCATAGGTGCCCGCTTGTACACTCATCAGTTTTGGTAGGCTGTTAGAAAGTTAGTAACTGCGAGTACGCTAGGAAAAAGTTACCATCAACATTCGTGCAGAGCCCCTCTATGACTTCTAGACTACGATACGGAGTAAAGACAGTAGTTTTATGGATTTTTATTTAACTTTTAATTGTAAACATGAAATTTTATTGAAGATGGACTAAAATTAAAAAGCATTGAAGCCCTACTCCAGTTGTGATCCGTGGAATTTAACATTTAATAAATTCGATTGTGTTTGGATTTCGCACATTACTCTTAGTTATATTTTCATTTTTACGCTCCCAAATACCCTGGCATGGCCGTATTATTTATTTTATTTAAACACATAAATATTGGTACAAGAGGGCACCAAATATGTATGCGTGGTTAGTCTGGCTGTAAAAGGTCGGATCTACAACGCGTCGGTGAGAGCAGTTTTGCTCTGTGCTTGAGACTTGGCCTCTCCGAGTTGAGGATGTTAGACGACCCTGTGGCCGGTCATCGTTGTCTCTGAAGGATTGCTGACATCCAGTGACAACACCACGTTAGTAATTCTGAGGTTCGGCATCGTGTGTTCGGGCACAGAGACGATAATGCGATTGTGGTCACCATCTTGAAACACCGACTTCGGTGGCCTGGACATGTTCTACGAATGTCGTCCCAGAGAATTCCACGTCGTGCATTATTTGCCGACTCTGGGACTGGTTGGAGAAAGCGGAGAGGTGGTCAGTGCATGACATGGTGTCGTGGTATGAAAGAAAGCTGCAAAGGGCTGGCTTCTGTTGGTCCTTCACGACTCCCTGACTGGGGTCCTAGAGATGGTGCTACACAATGGCTAGAAACGTTATCAGATATGGCTCAAAATAGAAGCCAGTGACGATCCTGCTGTAACCTTCTTTTACTTTCTTCACAAAAAGGTGGTTGTTTCTTCCTTAAGTGAAAGATTCCTTCTGATTGTACCTTTCCGTTTCCCCCATTATTATTTTTATTACTATTACGCTACCTTACAATAATCTGTTCGTTATTGTTCTTTTTTCGTGCTCCTTACCTTTTTTTCCGCTTCGAATTATCATTGTTTTTTGCGGCGCATATATATTTGGTGCCTTCTTGTACCAATATTTATCTATTAAAATAAAATAAATTCATTTTTACACCGAAATTTAAGTGTTTGGTGGTTCGTCGATATGTCACATTGCGTTTGAGTAAACTGATACTAGGTAGTTTGTTAGTAGTCGATTGATAATCTTTATTCAATCAAGAGATGTGAACACCCAACAAGGGATTAAATTATATTGTCCCCTTCCTCTTTATGGTTTACTGCTTAAATTGATGTCAATAAACAGGATTAGAATATTTAATGAAGAAGCTTGTATGCATTCGCCGTCAAACATAAAATACAAAAAGATACTTCTATTTAGGGAAAGTGAAAGTAAAGTCACAGAAAAAAATGCTTAGAATCGGTAGGATTGACTGCACTTACCTCGAATGCCGTATCAAGCGGAAACCAGTATTTTATCGTCACATACGACACTCTATATCGGCATTAGCACCTAGACCTTGATATAGTTATTTCGTGAGATTGGAGTGAAACAACCATCGGGGTCTGCATTACTGATGTCACTAGAATTGCATATTATATTAATTATAATTACATCCACCCAGTCTTTATTTAATGGTTTGGCGACCAAAATCTTTTCCGAGGAATAAGGAGGTTTAATGGCCTTGATGACTCAGTTATACTAAACAGTTCTACATGGCAAATTTCATCTTATATTCCACTTAAATTTATCAGTTATGAGGGTTATATTTATTTAAACAAATAGATATTGGTGCAAAGGGGCATCGAATACATATGCGCCATACAAGTCACTTGATCTGTGTGTAGGCTGTGATACTATCCGGGTGCCCAGACCGAAGCAGGGTTATATACCAACTAAGGCTACATATTTATTTCCGTTCTTAAACTTAATGATTTAGTCCCTCACATCTTCATATACTGCAGTGAGGTGATCTGGTACATGACTGCAATATACCGTGATAGTATTAAATAAAAAGAACTTATTCTACAGGCCACAACACTATTTCTCCATAAATGCATTTAAATAAGGATCTAGTTTCCAATACTCTAAAAGAATGTGAACTTCAGTGAACACGATCGTAATAGAAAAGAATAGTAAGTTATATTAACATCACATCAAAATTAATCCATATTATAAGATTTCCCTTTTAATGGGTTCATCAAAAAAAAGACTATGAATTAAAAATATTGACAACTTGATCTAACGTCAAACATTTGAAAATATACGTAATTTCGTATCTTAATCTATGCTCAAAAAATTACTGTACCAATGCCAAAATATTCTCACATTTTGAAACTTTAAACAACGGAGAAGTTTACTGTCTACGTTGTAATGCATAAGACTAGAAGAAATACTATATAATAAATAAATCTATATGATCAGTTTCACACTTTGTCAAAATGTCATACAAAGTAAGTAGATGATGCATGAATATTTTGAAAGTCCTTTCGCTACTTAAACAAAACCCCGACCTGGATTTCTAAAAAATGACTGTTACACAAAATCCTTAGTATATTTGTGCTAAAGTTGGAAAGGCAATTTACTTTAACGCATACATGTATGTATTAATAAAAAGATGTAGTACTTACAAAATCCTCACTAGTTATCCTATTACATTATTTATTTTATTTAAACATAAACATTGATACAAAGAGGCACCAAATACATATGCGCCACATAAATCATTCGATTTGTGTGAGAGCTGGGGTACTGCTCCGGCACCCAAACCGAAGCGGGTGGTTTTCTGAGGGGGTCACGCCACGAACCCTTGACCTAAAGGTCTAATCCACAAGGTAGTGGAGCAATGTAAGGAGATGCAGTCCCATGGTTACCGGTGATCAACGACCGGTTCATGCCCATTTATTTCCTCAGGATCCTGGAGCCCATTTGCACTATTGGCTTGTAATCAGGGATTTCCAACTCCCCTAGGTGGATTCTCCATGTCTACCAACCTGGTTACAGCGCCGGACATTCGTAAAGAACACCTCTGCCAGGAGAATACAGTGAGTAGGACTTCCCTATCAGTAGTTGGATGCGCGTAGCCATGTGAGAGCATTAGGGGATGAAAAAGTGACTCTCCCCACTCTTGGCCATACCAGGGCAGTTGAGGGCTCATATTACATTGCTGGTAAGTACTATCTATAAAACTTTGTCGATAGTTAGTATAAAACATAAACTTTCACAATTGAAGGTAAACCGACCAAACATACTATTTATTTCACAAGTCAATAATGATCCACTTGATAATTTCAATGACATCTAATTCAAAAATTACCTATAACTAATGAAATCAGATAAATATTTCTAGACAATTAGCCTTTAATGAGTAATAACTAAACTAAATGAAACATAATTTTACGTAAGATTCCTTATATCTAAAAGCAATTAGTTGCTATAGAAATGATGAGCAATAAACATTATGGGGATAAATGAACAACCCAATTTTTAAAAAAAATAACATGAAAATTCAGTAAGGTGATTTACTTTGTGAAATCATATATATATATATATATATATATATATATATATATATATATATATATATATATATATACATCAATTGCTATAATTTGAGACCAGAAAATAAGTGAGCATTTAGAGGAGAAAAAAAACAAACAAACTACAAAGACGGATTATTTCATTCATGATCTCAAATCAAACTGCAATATGAAAAGAATGATAACTGTATGTAGAATAAAGGATATTTTTTTTAAACTTTAAAAATAATATTTATACAAGAAATGAGCATAGTTTGTTTTTTGTTTTCCTTAAAAGATAAGGGTGACAATTATGTCGAAATAGCAAAATCCCATAATAAAAAAAAAAGAAGAAGAAAAAGACGAAGCTGAGATTACTTTTTTAATCCCATATAAAGATGACTGGGAATAGAAACAGTAAATACACATTCTTGAACAGACAATTCAGATCATAAATGTGTTACTCTTATGTGAATGAACAACAGATATTTAAAAGAAAATGAAGAAATAACAAGCTGGAGCATGTGTACAAAATTCAATGAAAAATAGAAACACATGCAATCATATTTATATGCACAAAAAAATTGGATAGAAGTTAAAATTGAATTTCTTAATACATAGTTACTACATTTATATAAATACCTGAATACATGAGTTTATAGAGATGATCTGTGCGATACATGACTTGCAGTTTCATAGAAAGTGGCAATAACAACAGTAACTGTAACACATCAATGATTCTTATTTAATATACACAATTCCAAATTTTGACTGCTGCAAACTGGGTGTGAACTACTAGTAAACGATTTGTAAAATCAAAAGTGATATTCGGTTAATAGGAGTCTAGTAAATGTAATGGAGGATGGCAAAAACAAACCCAAGGGTGGGGCAATATCATAAAATAGGCACCAGAACATTTTCATAGATTAAGTGTAGATCTATCACAATTAAGGAGAGATATTGAGAGAAAAAAAAACAAGAATAAACAAAAAATGATACACTTTGTGTTTTGAAAGATTGGAGATAAAAAAGCATTACCCTCTTGTTAATATCACGATTATGGCTATTGTATCATTATTGCAGACATGAACCGAAATCTAAGTGCAGCTGGTTCACAATGGATTGATCCAATTCTTCCTCATCTTCTGAAAAGGTCGGAACATGGAAAACACCAAGACCTGAAACATCTAATTGGGGAAGAGGAGCCCACATTGCCATATTGTCCAATTCAGGCAGTTCCAGGCTTTTATCACCAATTAGAAGGCATGAGTTATTAGATGTAGATGAAAATGCGTCTGAAGTTCTCACTAATCCCTCACCAGAGCAGAGGTTCGTGATTGAATGGGGAGATGGACTTAATTGTGATGATATATAGGGATCTGGTGGTAATTCAGATGGCAATAGTATGGTGTGTTTGTCCCTTAATTCACGAGAAGTTTGATTACTAGTACCTGTAGTCGGAATTTCTAGGGAAGATGAAAGAGTTGTCATAGATGACCACTGGCTATCAGTACTAGGTGGCGCCGAAATCTGACCACACAATGATGAGTGAGATTTATTTTGTGGAGACATACACGACAACTGAGAATCCAAATTTTCATTGGGAATATAGGTCCCATTCACAATTTGCTTCGCAAGGCGCACAGCTTCTGCGTATCCTTTTACCCGGGTACGTGGATTATAAAGTTTATCAAAAGACTCTTTAAAAGGGTACAACTTAGCACAGCTTAAATAAGAACACTGATCCCAAGCAAGCCAGTCAACGCGAGCAGTATATCCAGCCGCCAAACTTGGATCTGAAGGAGTCGCAAGAACAGCCAAAGATGACGCATTGCCATCCAATGACTGTGAAGTTGGAAGTAGAGTGGCTTGAGAAAGCTGATGGGCAGTGCGAGCCCAGATAGCGTTAATCTGGGATGGCCAATACGGATAGCCAGCAAGTTTAGCCCATACTATATCACCAACACGTAATCCCCCTGAGACCAGACTAAATGTAGGGGAAGTAGAATTACTGGTGACTGCCCTGGCCCTTCTGGTAAAGTCTCCTCCTGGAGCATCTGCATCACACCACGACTCTACAATACGAAATGTTGCAGGAGCCGTTTTACTTTTAGCTCGTTTACCTTTCCCAATATTGAAATCTATAGCTGCGTCCCGACGAAGCCGAATTTTCAGTCCGCCAGAAACGAAAGACGATGAAGTTAAACCTTTGGAATACATAGGTGCTTGGATAGGAGATTCTTGGCTTATCTGTTGCGTCATAGTCAAACTGGGTGATAAAGACAGGTGGTTATCTGTTGACAAATTAGGAGTTTGGGTTGGATAAAACGAAGTCAACGATGATTCACTTACAGAATTTCGTTTAGACTTTCGATTGTTGCGAGAACGAGGTTGTCGATGCCTGTGAGAATAAGACTGTTTATTATTTGGTGATTGAACTTTACTGGTATCAGGTACAGATGAATTAGTATTACCGCTAGATTCGAATTTCTTTAGGGAATATTTTCCGGTAGTTCGTTTTTTGGTAGTTAGTTTGACACTGGATTTAGATTTTTTAATCACAGAGTTTATTTCACAAGTGAGCAGTGCACTTTTTTCATTTTTTCCTTCAGTGAAAGTAGGGCTTTCAAATGTGCTAGTGACTTCAGCCATATTTAAACCGATAATTGGAGAGGTATGACTACATAAACTATTGCTTGTGTTGGTACAAGACGATAGGGCTGTTGAAAGACCCTGGATACTACCAGATGTTGATGGGGAACCCATGGTGTACGTCATATTATTTGGTGATAGACATCTCAAATTACCAGAAGGAACAGAAGTGCAACCATTCTGAGTGGTGCAACAATCACTTCCAAAATCTAGAGTTGTTGTCGCTGGAGTTGGACTGTTTGACTTATTATTCGTTAGGGCTTGGTCTTTGGCCATCCACATATGTTTAGGTTTTTGATAACCACGTGCACGGGGACCATAAAGATCTTCTCCTTCTTGAAACTCGTAAACATTTACACCAAAACAATCTCCTGAATCGGACTCCAACGTATTTGACTGCACAAATTCAGATAAATTTTCATTGGACAGTTGTAGCGGTTTCATGAAAAATTTGACGCCTAAAAAATAAATAATTAACAACTCAACTAACAAACACTTTTAAATACACGTAAAATCAAAACACTTATAGTGAACAAAAACCACAATCGTAACGAAACACCACCTACCTAAGACTGAGTAGAACAGGGTTAAACGAAAGAGAGTACTAATAAATTCATGAAGAGTACCAAAAAATGAAAAAATATAAGAGACACAATAAAGTTACATAGATGCTACCCATAAAAAAAGTCAATAAAAATACCACCTAGCAAGTGTTAGCCAGACAACTATGAAAACTCCTGTATTCCCACACGATCAACTGATCGGCCGATTTGATCATTAAAATCTTCATGTAACGGAATGTAAGCAGTCACAAACGTGTTCAGATTGAAGTTAATAAGCCTCGAATCACAGTGTCGATCAAAAGCCAGAAAAATAGTCCGAAATTATATCAGCAGTAGTTGGCCTCTGTAGATAACTGAAAATTTCAAGGGCTAGAAAACTTCGAATAATTTCCATTGAGTGCGTTTACAAGGACAATAAGAAAAAGGAATTTACTGTCAATATAGCATAAATGGAACTCTGAGTGATTATTTAATTAAGCGCGACTCAGTTGTTAGCAAAACATTTGTTTGCAGTGACATGACTTAATCACTTGAGGTATAAGTAAACATTAATTACGCTATTTCAGTACCACTTTATTGTTGCGCTGAAACTAGTCTTACTCATTTTTATATGCACAATGTGCGCTAAGATGCAAAACAGGTAAACTAAACACCACTGTTAGAAAACAGTAGACTATAGTATGGGAAAATCTAAGAACAGCACCTACTGAGAAACCAGTCAAATATGTTAAGATAATTGCCACTGTAGATAGCTTACCTGTTCGTTTACACAAAAAAGGGAAACTTGACTGTTGCATTTATTCACTTGTTTCACTTTCATTCCAGTAACGTAAAACATACTGTGTGGAGTACAACTCTTGACCACTGAAATCCGACTGCATTATTAACACATATTCTGCACTGATACATGCGAACTACAAACTCAAGCGGATTTAGGTCTGAGTATAGAATAACGGTGCAGCCTGGCAGCTTTTTCTGTTTTCACGCATACTTCCAAGTTTAATTTACAGTGAAGGCTAGTATAGACCAAACTAAGTGTAAGCTCGTGGCGCAATTGTTCTGAGCTTAATTGCCGAGTCCCAGCCTTAAGTTTAAACGAAGATAATGGTTGGTTATTCGTGAAGACTTCCAAACTTTATATTACAGTACCTAGCCTGATGTATGTCCTGATGTTTTCGTGACTTCCAGGTTTCCTGATCTGCCAAGAACGATGGGATAGTTGTGTGCTGGGTCCAAAGAGAATTATATGCTGTATGCATGCAAATCCGCCCTGTTATTATTTCTATTTGCCTCAAATGCCGAGAGTGGGGAGTCAGCATACGAGATAACTGAGCTTTAATACATTGATTTTAGAGAGTCCGAGGGTGACTACAAGTAAATTGTCAAGAATTCAAATCTGTAAAGTCTGGGGATTACATTGTACAGTGATAAATTGGTATGAAAACGGTTTTGTAGTAGTCAACGCAGAATCCTTTGATATGTTAGACAATCAAGTATAACTAAGAGTAAAACTCAAATTACTAATCTCCGTCACTAAAACGACTCAGGATTTCGGTCACACAACACTTCAATTGCTGTTTGATCGCTATTATGGTGTATGTAAATCTTGAAAACACTTATCTAGGTAAATCACTATTACTTCAAAACACGTCTAAAACGAGAATGAAAACCTCGTCTGAATTACCCAGCACAAACAAAAATACAGCTAAGATGTAAGGGAAACGATAACAATGATATAGGAGCTACATACATTAGCACTCATTTCGCGAGCCCATGAATTTTCTGGTACGGCCGAGAGTGGGGAGAGTCAGCTCTCCCTATCCAAATGCTCTTACATGGTCACGTGTATACAGCCATTGACAGGGAAGTCCTGCTCACTGTCTCCTCGTGGCTCGTGAAGTGGCCTCCTAAGGAGACCACCTGCCATGGTTTGGGCGCCCGGGTAGTATCCCAGCCCTTGAACAAAACATTTATGGCGCATATATTTGATGTCTCCTCGCACCAACGTTTGTATTTAAATAAATAAATCTTAATACGCTTTTAAAATTGAAGCAACCGAAACTCGTCAATGCAAACATATACGTACCTGACTACTTACTTCCGAACGTCTACCTTCAGAGACATTCTAAGCCGTCCTAATCAAACCTTTATTTTGTAATCAACATCCACTTTTCACCGAAACTGTAGACTGAAAGGTTGGATTAATAATACTGGACGATGAATTCGATCAGCGAAAGTTTGTAAAGACACATGTTACGCAGCCTAAGTCGCCATTTACTTCAACATGCGACTGTCATCTGACTAAAGTGTATAAAGCTGTGGATTTGCTGATTTTCCCTTCCACATGGTTTTAAGCTATTAATGATTAAACATCTGGTACACTACTATTAGAGGTTATTCGGTGTTTTGCTAGAAGCATTAATGAAAGCCACGGCAACTTACTCATAGAGAATACATAACATCCAAAACTACGTTCAATACCCCTAGTCTGAAGCATTCAAAAGGGGTGTTCATACTTATGAAAATGAATAAGCCATTGAGAAACCGTACCTACAGTCGATAACTTTGTGCTTATTTCACCCCGAAAATTAAGTCAGCGGTGGAATACTATGAGCCCACTGAAAAGTGACAACGTACACAACCACCACTATCTTATACAACGAACATTCAAAAAGAATATCAACTACTACTTCAGTGAGAAGTGCTAATGGCCTGCCAAAAACATCATTTTTTAGTCATCAAGCGACGTGCAAGACCTTTTAAGACAAAATAATTCGTCTCATTTTTACAACACGACCACTAAAATATTGAAAAAGCCTAGCAATGGGTCCTTTAAATAAACGTTGAGAAACAGCAGAGTGAATAAACGTATGGAGATAGGCCCGACCATAAGTATTTACACAAATGTGTTGTATTTGAAAGACAATGACGAAAAAATTAGTAAAAACAAAAGTAAAAGATACTTAAAACACATTACCTTACTGTTGGGTGACTGCCAATGAAGTAATAAAGCAATCACTTCCGTGGCAAAAATTACATGAGCCGAAAATTTGCTGTGGTGAATGGTGAAAACCTATATGTTTCTCTGATCTGTAATCGTTACAGAAATCCCGATATTTTGAAACTCCAAAAATAGAAATACATTAAATGCGCCTACGTACGCCGCCTACTCAGACAAACAAAGTACTAAGATTTCTAACGATTTCAGAAATATACAAAATGCTGACTCCATAACAGTGTGAAGTGATAATCGATGGATATTCAGCCAGGGATTAAAGTCAAGTAGTTATGATCAAATGAGATAGAAGCACAAAATGCAATTTATGTGCAAGCTACTTGAGAGCAATCATGATAACTGTCGCGGAAAATGATGCAGTGTTGAACAGTTCAAAAAGCTTTTAGTGTAATTTACTTGAATAACAAATAACCAATATATTGGTAGACAGATATTTAAGATTCGATGCCAGTAAAGGTTGTTTGAATAGACCGGATCGAATACTAGTACATGATTCGGTATTGACGAATAGCAGATAAATCCTCAAGATAAACAATTCTGTAGTTCTGCGATGTTGATGCTGACATCGTTATTCTTTCTGGACACATCACAGCTGGAGGTGTCCGGTCAAGCAACTGCACTAGTTCACCATTGGTTGCTCCGTGCTACGCATCCCTTGCAACAACTAGCCAGCTTAGATCGAGCGAATTTCGAGACATCAATTGTTTTTCAAATACATCTTCGAACCACTTCAATCTTGACTTCTGGTTTGATTGGATTTTGAGTCTTTGATTATCAAGGTGTTAATGGCATAGACGTTGTCCAACCTTGAACATCCAGGACATCCTTAGACATGGTAGTCACTTAGTTTAGCACACTTATTGCCTTAGACACATTGTAGATCATAATCCACATCCCTATATTTCACGTAGCTCAGTCTTACATGTAAAGTGGAAAACTCAAGCATTCCCTAAACACAACTGTGATATTTTGAAATCATAAACACTTTTCATTGAATTTCTGAATTGTCCACTGGATTAAGGGAAAAATGCATAGCAACGTCTTTGAATTGCAGCAAAAGAGTAGACGTGATATAAAGCCAGCCTCTGTAGATCCATAACGCAGTAGATCTCAAGCAACCAACCTTTTTATACGAAGTAAATTCAAGGGGAGTTAAACCATTAACGGGGAATTTCTGGGTTATTTATTGGATTTGTGTGGTACTTTAAATGATTCAGTACAAGTAAAAAAGAATTTAAACCAAATACATAAGGTTCCCAGAATAGACAGCCTAAAGCAGAATTTTAAAAACGGATAAACTGTATAGCTGGAACTTCCTGCCAGCCTGGGCTTTGTCAAATTTCCAGTTTGAAGATGGAACTAGGCTAGTGGAAGCCTACCAATCAGAGGCCAACAGGGTGAAGATAGCAGAGGATAGTTTATGATGTAAAATGCCATAAAAAGTAGAGACAAGATAGTAAAATAAATTTGTGGTAAATTTCAGTGGTATAACAGGAAGATGAAGATTATCAGAATTATGGGGCATCGCGACACATTTAGAAATATCAGTTCACATATATCCCTGTTAAGGACGTTTATACATAAAAACAAAAAGTCAACTAAATAAATGAAAACAACGGCAATGAAGAAAATAATATGAAAAAAATGTAAAATTTACCCCGCTGGATGATCAATTAACTTTACCAGGGTAGGTTTAGTGTGAGAACAAACTGTTTTGGAATGCATGAAGGGAGTTTGAATTTTCGTATGGTTTGGGCTTCAACAAATTTTAGCACACGCCTTCTAATATTTTTGCACGAAACCACGAAAGCCGTATAAATACCAGTCTTATGACCCGTTTAACTTGTATGTTTGGCAGTTGATGATGGATGTTTGTCATCCACTCTTATAGGGTCTTTAGTTCTATTTGCTTTTCCAGCCACAAGTACATGGGGAGTAGTAGTCGGATCTGTGGTATTCGTACAAAGCGATGATTCATTTGCACTTGATTGCCCGCTTATAGCGAATGACAAATATATAATGCGTTAAGGGGGCGGTCGAGAAGTCATGCCACGAGTTTTCGCGCACATGTTACATGTTATCGAGGATTCTGGATGTCGTTATTAATCAGCTATTAACAGTATTTTTCCGCCACACGTCAATTTTCGTAATATTTTTGCTTGCGTCATAGCTTTTATTCCAGTTTAATAATAGTTCGACGTATTTGTTTCTCACAACCTGGGTGGATGCTTAGTCAGCCTAATGTGGTTATTATTAACAATGCAAACTCAAGCAAGTGAAATTCACCATTTATCAAGTCAAAAATGAACCGCAGAGCTTTATGCAGAAATGAGCTCTAAAATCTTTCGCATTTCCGTATTTGACGCATTTCTCATTATTTCTCTGAATTTATCCATGATCCATGCTTCATCTGCTCTAAATTCTTTTTCGGTCCATGCAAACAGAACAGGACGCCCGCATCCAAAATTATCCGTTGTTACCAGCTGGAATGCCAAATATCTACATAGTAGAATTCAAAAACCATATGTACTTTTTATTATTGGTATTGTAATTAGAATCAGTACAAACTACCTCTGGATATTTGTTATACAATTCTGTCTGCTCACAAGCACTAAAGCAGATTTCGGTGGCATATTCATTTTTTCAGTACTCTCTCATTTCACCGTTTTGCAGCAATATATCAACTACTTGGAGCCACGTATTATAACCTGAAATATATATCTATACACTTACCTGTAGAGAGTTGAGTTTTCATAGTCTTCACATCAGCAGAAGTGACCTACTTACCAGTTCAATCCTTAATACTTTCTATCAGTTCATCTATTGATGTTAATTACAGTCTCATCGACTTTGAATCCTCTTTTTTTGAAAACAACCTGCTGGTCCATGAATGGTTTGTTATCCAAAGATCAATGAGAAGTATCTTGCATGATTTTAAAGCATATTCTTCGCCGTCCAATTCTACACAAAACCTTGATTGGCAGTTTAGAAGCTTTGACTTTAGACGTCACATGCCAGTTAAAGTACTCATGGTTTTCGATTTACTGTTAGACCTTATGGTTTATGCTCATGATCAAATATGCAATGAATCACCACAGACATGTACTTAAATTTCATGTCCTTCAGCAGTTTACATTCGCTGTGAATGTAATGAGCATGGGTAGAATGAGAAGGGACAAGATTACTGCTCCATACTCTTTTGGAGTTTCTTTAGCATACTATCGAATTCAAATCAGCTTTCAAAACGCCTGTTCGGTATTTTACGTTAAAACGCTTCGCTTAAGTCGACTGAAGTGTCTCTTGAACACAAAGCACTACAAAAAGCACTTATTAATTATTAAAAAAAGTTATTCTTTGCAATAATAATTAGTAACTGAGGAAAGCGTTACAAACATTCAAGACTTATCGGTTACTTGACATTTTCTCTTAATCCTTGTGTAAAACAGCGATTCACACAAATTTCGCGTATCTATAACTGTTAAGTTATTCTCGATATGCTGTTTTGTGGACCCCACCGAATTTTAAACAAGGACACTGAGGTTCAATAAAGTAATTGATATCTCAGTTCAAGCTACAAAGCAACAATGGAGCCATTGTGTACAATATAAAAAAGTGGAAGGTAAATTAATGCTTTACGCAGTGATTCGGTGATTATACTACGGAAAAGGATGACTTAAATATTCGTACAACGAAACGGACATCCAACAAACCCACGCACTTGAAATATGGAATGTCTGCCTCTTGTCAGGCAGCTCAAGGTTGCTGAAACGAAACAGCGGGCGTCTTTGAAAGGATCTGCCTTTTTAAACTAGCCTGCGTTCAGCTGTGTTTATTCAGTGTCTACTTGCCTTAAACTGCACTATTTCGGGAATTCCCGGTCATAACAGTAATTAAAATACTGATAATGACCATGTCAACGACGCGATAGAGTTAAATCTTGAACGGTCGAATATTAATTCAACTTGAGATGACACTGAAGACTATTTGGAGCGGTTCGAAATGTGGTGCTAAACTAGAAAAACTATCGAAAATGATAAATTTACGGCTTATTTCTTGACATTCTTTAACAAACAAGCGTATAACTTGCCAAAGAATCTTGCTTTTCCAAAGAAGTAAATCTCATCGTCACATGAATCTCTCAAAGTATTTCTACTTGGCATGCAAAGTGTGCTGGCTTAGGACACGGACAAAATTGAAAGTTTCTTAAAGTGATCAAAGAGTTGAAGATTTTACGCTTGAACAACCGAAATAGTCCACAATGTGCACTTTCGAAAACCGATTGGAAACTTAGGTCCGTGATCGGTTGATTGCTGAAATAAATATTCCGAACTTAGAAAGAGAGTTAATTCGGAAGTTCAGAAGTTCATTCCAAGAAATAAAAACACCATGTATCCCCCTTTCGTGGTTGACTGGATTATGAAAACCTCAACATGTGAGAGGAAGCACGAATGCAATGAACAATTTAAGTGCAATTGAACAATTTGGACATCACATATGACCTTTCTCTTCTATCCCATACTCACGTAAAGATGCAGATGAAAACAATTAGAGTAACAGGAGTCGCTGAGGCACTAGGCCTCAACATACATAAGGGGAAAAGCGAGATCCTTAAATACAGCACGGAGGGAACCAACTCAACCACACTTGATAATAAGCTGTGGAAGAGGTGGAAACTTTCACGTGCCTGGACAACATCGTCATCGGTGTGTAGTGGCATTGGACCCTAAACATACAATCTTCAAAGTTAAACAAGAGATAACTAGGACAACAGATATTCAGCATTTAACGCGGAGAAAGACAGAACTATGGAGAAGGCGGAAAGAAAAAGTCCAACTAGTTCAAATTGATCGGCTGGCATGGCTCGGCTTTGAGTGTTGTCTGAAACTTTTTATTCATATCAAATATATTGTTTTATCACCAGCCTGAATGTGTTCTCCATCATAAACGGGTAATTGTTAAGATACAATGAGTCAGTGTAGACAATTATGTGACTTTCACGTAAGATCTTATGGATTAGACAGTTACAACGTGACAAATCTACGATTTTAGGATTAGGTCTATTATTAAAGCAGTGCTAATACCGAAGTAGACCATAATTCTACAGGTAAACAAGGAGGATTTGATGCAGACGTAAAGGCAAGAACTGAAAGAGAAAG